ACAATTTATGCACCTAATTTAGTAAAATTTGGCATGCCGATACTTTTTTGCCGGTCAAACAACAGTTTACTTTTTATCCCGGAAAACTTAACGGTTCCCGTGGGATAGATCTGTTTGTGCTATTCTAGAGGCGAACCCGAGCGAAGCAAGGGTGAGCCGCTAGTATTAAATATAAAACAGTCAAATGGTGACATGTTGTCACTAATAAGATAGCTGCGACAGAAATACACTCTATTTCGGCAAATAAATAGATAGCATGTTATAATTAATCAAACAAAATATGAAAGTGATCGATAGATTCACCAAAAGCTAGTATGGAACTAATCCATCTATTTTGTTTGCCATCCATGGTTATTAGTTCCAATTTTGGTCACCGGGTCAGATAAGGCCGCGCGCACTTTGGACACGAATTTTGATCGTACGTAAACGTACGATCGTGGACGTACGAATTAAGTGCGCACATTGAATACGTTTTTCTCAGTCAAATAGGTAGTTTTCCGGTGATATCGCACTCGTGAAGTCCATTTTGGAGCGCGATGAATAATCTGTATCTTCAAGATAATTCTCTTATATTAACTCGGATACTGCGGCGGCGTCTTCGCTATCGTAGAACCGAATGGGTGCGTGAAATATATATTCAAAAATACGTGATTTCGGTGAATTCCATCATATTATGGAAGACTCATAAAATAACCACATACTGTTTCATGGTTATGCACGTATGAAAAAACAAACATTTATATTTCATAAACTAAGTTTATAAATTTTTCTACACCCATTTATAATTTTTAACGCACGAAAGTGTATTAAAATCCCAACAAGTTTGGATTATATTCTGACGTCGGAACTACACGCACGTATACGTACGACAAACTCGCACGCAGGCTGCGCGCCCCCATTGAAAGGTGCGCATCATTCGTGCGTGTTCGTACGTGTTCGTACGAGTAAAATTCGGACGAAAACGTGTCCAAAGTGTGCGCGGCCTAAGTCTTGTCTTTTTGAGGCACTATACGATTTTTGTTGTGTTTGGAAAATTATACAATATAAATATTCCAAGGATAAAAGTTGTTAATTTTTTTTATTGTTTATTAGGTAACTTAATACCTAAGTAGCCACTTATTGAATCACTACTTACTACTTAATATTCCAAGTAAAATATTAATTAAAAACAGCCCTCTTGAACAGATATTATATATGTATAATATTTAAAACTTGGCCCGATGCCTGCCTCGGTGGTGTAGTGGCTAGCATGTACGGCTGCTCACCCGGAGGTCCTGGGTTCGATTCCCGGGTCGGGCCAAGTTTAGTTATTAAGTCTTTCTGTATAGTAAGTTTCAGTAACAGCCCGGAGTTGGGCAGTTGGCGGTGTTTCACCCCCGTGCCTCGGAGAGCACGTAAAGCCGTCGGTCCTGCGCTTTAACTCTCACTGGTCGTGTCGAGCAGATGTCCCACCGGAGTATGAGAGTGACAGGAATAGAGAGTACACTTGTGCCTGCGCGTACACTTGTGCACTATAATATCTCCTGCGCAGTTGGCTAGTCTCAATGAGATTGGCCGCCGCAGCCGGAATCGTCTAGGAGAACATCATATATGTATAGTATTATAATAGTACCTATTCCTTGAATTGGAAATTGGACTCAAGTGAATAAGTCACAGAAGTTCGTTCTTTACGGCTTCACTAAATGTTCATAATATGAAATTAATACTTTTTACTTAAGTAAGTACTTTGCAATAAAAAAGTCAGGTCAAAATTTGCCTATAACTTTGAACCCTTAAACGACTTACAATTTTACTAGAATAGTTGCTAGTTTACTAATAGTAATAAGACATTTTAATTCAATTAAACGAAAACTAATAAGTACCCTAAAATAATGTAATGTTATAAACTTCAAAAGGCACTCCATAAACATACCTAATGTTAAGCTATTATGAACTTATTTGGCAACATTTATATTTTATTCATGGGTAATAAAAAGAATATTTAAAACTGTACGTTTTATTTTTTCTTCAAAAACAAGATATATCTTAATCGTTAAGTTTGTAGTATAAAATTGAAAGATTTAGTTTATAAAGCACACCCATTATCCATCCCAAATATCAACATTAGCATGGATATATGGTGTCGGAATCAGGACAGTATATTATTCTTCTTGGTTAGTAACTGAGTCGATCAGCCCACATTGATTGCGTCAGTTTCTATTATATAAGATTGCGAAGATAACAAAAACAATATAAACAAGGAGCCTTTATAAAATATCTGTAGTCATAAATCGTTTTCAACTTCATATTATGTGAATTGCTTCTATGTAATATGTGGAAGTCCCTTTTTAAATTTATTTGAAGGTTGTCCCTTTAAATAATTCGTTTGTCGATCAACTTTCCATGTTTATGTTATTAAAGATTTCCATTGATGGGCAAGGCAAATAAATATTATTGAAAACGCGCGTCAATCTTATAAAATATATTCTAGGGATGATGTATTTATATTTAGAACTAGCAGAACCCGAGGCTTCGCTCGCGTTTAAACTACAAATAAAATATTTTTGATTTTATGTTATAAATAATAATTTGATGGCTGTAATGATTTTCAAATGTGCGACTTGCGCATCGAGGGTTCCGTTTGTCGAATATTGTGTTATTTTTTAATAACATATTAACAAACTAAAATGTTTTTTCTTCCGTTTTCATAATCCATACTTAATTACATATTTGCAAAAATAAGTTCGTGTTATATATTATTTCTGAAAGAATTACCGAGAACAAATTTAATATTTGCTCTTAGATTATTTGACATATTATAATAATCTAAGTATTTGCTATCGTAACTCGAAATATCCAGTAACTTAAAAGATATTTAACGTATATTCGTATTATATTATTAGTATTTAGTGAGTTCTACTACTTCTATTTTTTGCACATAGTACATATTTTATTTTAAAGGTAAATATCACTTTCAGTCCATTTCACACAAGAAAATTACAGAGTTTCATAGAAAATTTAATTTTATTGAAGATCATTAATACCAAGTTTCAAGTAGTTCTGATCATAAATATTTTTTTGCCCATCCAAACTTTAGCAGCTTCTTTTACCAATTTAAGGGACGAATTTGGAAAAAATCTGATATACTTATTGTATATATTTTCACTTTTAAACTAAATATCTACCACTTTCCGTGCATTTCACATTAAGAATAGCAGAGTTACATACAATCTTTCATCCCCCTTAGCTCTAATATTTTACCCCTTCGAGTATGAATTTCGAAAAGTCCTTTCTTATCGAATGCCTACATAATATATGGAATACGTCCTCGAAATTTCATGTTTCTATGACCAGCGGCTTAGGCAGTGCGTTGATTCTCCAGTCAGTCAGGACAAAGCCTTTTATATGTTATATAGATTACCTTATATAAACACTTATATGTGCCGTAGAGTTAAGAAGTTAAAGAGAGAGACAATTATTATTAACAAGCATATAGTCTTCCTACATACATAGATTCCGATATATGGATGTTAATTACCTACTCAAAATTATCAAATAGTTATGTAGAATTAGTCCCACTTATAGTTATCGCTTTTGTCGCTTAAACACTTGTTGTATTTACATACATATCTACTACAGTACATATCTACTATAGTAAATAAAAAGACCAGACTTACCCTCGCTTCGCTCGGGTACATCTTTAGGTACGCGGATTTTGTTCGCAATTTCAAGTGTTTTAACTTTTTTGCTCGAAACCATAATCCTTTTTCTTAAATGAAAGTACCCTAATTTACTTCTTATAACATCAGCTATCTGCCCGTAAAAGTCCCGTCAAAATCAGTCCAGCCCTTACGGAGATTAGCCAGAACAAACAGACAGACAAACATTATTAAAAAAAAAATTATTATAAGTAAATACCATATAGTGGTAGCCCAGTGCTAACGCGCTCGCTTAGGTAACCGAGTGAAGCGCGCTTAAATCCCGGGTCACGCACTGCTGATATTTTCATATGCGAATATTTTCCAACATGATTACCACTTATCTTACAGTGAAACTTGCATGTCTGAGAGAACTTAAAAAATGTTCGAAAATCATGTGAAGTTCGCCAACCCGCACTGGGTGGGCCAGCTGGGTGGACTATGGGTTGCCGTTTGATGCCCTTTGTATTGAGGGGCGGTCCGTGCCCAGCAGTGGGACGTTATAAAGGGCTAAATACAAGTACCGTATATATTTTCATATGTATTTAGTAAAAAGCTGTTATTTTGACATTACAAACAGACACTTTAATTTTATTTACCTGTATAGATGGTAATATACAAGATAGGAAAATTCTGTTAGAAAGTGACTGTTACAGCTCATTGAAATTATAATTAAAGATAATACTTAATTTTTAAATACATATTGTATTTTTAATAAAGAAAATAGATATAAATTAAAATTATAATTACCACGGCAACAAATTTAGAGTAGGACTTACTATTAATTTATGTATGAATTTTTACAATATAGTTTTTATTTGCAAAACAAAAAATATTTTGACATCTTGCACAGTTTATAAAGGAAGACTTTTTGTAAAAGATTCGTTATAATAAATTATTATTATTTATATTTCACAACTACTGAGTTATGAAGGATGTTATGAAAGATGGGAACCCACACCCACTACCGCACTCATGTTCGTATAAAACATTAGAAAATAAATTAATATAGTATTACCCATAAAAAATCGCCATAAGATATTATAGTAGGCATGTACTATTTAATATTTAAGTTTACATATTATCTACAAATTACATTATGTAGAGGACTTCATATTACGTACACATGTTCTTATTTACATATATTATGTCATAAGAGAAAACATTGAAGTCCTCCAAACCGATTTTGGCCACAGTGGCTTATCTTACTGAGCCACAAAAGATAATGCACATCTATGTTGCCAAAAATTCGATGAGCCGCAGGATGCAAATACGAAATGGTAGCAATAAACGTAGAACGACGGCTTTTCATGCTACGTACGTATGAGAGCAAGAGGCGCTATCACCCCTAGTTTCTCAACTTCTCAAACAAAAACTTCATCCAGATTTCAGAAGTTGGAGTTTGAACCACAAAATCTACAGTCACTAAACAATAGATTAAATGGATTGATCGGTAGGCGGCATTAAAGGTTCATTCATTACACTGTCAAAATACTCGTCATGCCTTACGCGAGCTTGATATTTTTGTTATTAGTAATGTTCTGAAATAAAAATATACATACATATATGTCCAATTTAAATTAACTGATTTTTTAAAGATTCAGTTTGAAATATACTTTGTAAGTGATAAAGCTATAAAGTGATATAGACTGAATAGGTCTCTCAGTAGGTCAAGCCATAGGCTATTTACTGACTATTTTCTCATAGTTATATGTAGGTATATAATAGACTAGGAGGAGAATGGAGAGGAGTAAGGCAGTGGTAGCCCAGTGGTAACGCGCTCGCTTGGTAAACCGAGTGAAGCGGTTTCAAATCCAGGGTCTCGCACCTCTGATATTTTCACGTGCGAATCATTTCTAACATGACTACCACTTGTCTTATGATGAAGGAAAACATCGTGAGGAAACCTGCATGTCTGAGAGAACATAGCAAGTTTTCGAAAGACATGTGAAGTCCGCCAATCCGCATTTGGCCAGCGTGGTGGACTATGGCCTGTTCTCCCTCATACTGAAGGGAGGCCCATGTCCAGCAGTGGGACTTTAAAAAGAGCTGAATACAAATGGATAAATAGATAATTATTGTATTGTAAACAAATATTATTTTAAAAGAGCAACTGTTGGGTTTCTCTCCGGCTCTTTTCAGCAGAACTGTCTTCCGCGCCGGTGGTAGAATCACATTCAATTTAAATAATGTAAAAAGTGATGGTTAAAAAGTGCTGTAAAAGTCTATTTGAATAAAGTATATTTTGATTTGATTATTTACTGACCGACGGAAAGAACTTATAGTATTGGCGAAGTTAGAGCAAAAGCTTTATCTCTACTGGAAAAAATGCTCTTATATTAAATCGATATTTATGTATTTCCAATAAATATATATGATGGAGGAGGATTTAGTTACCTTTTTCTGGTAGAATGTGAAAACTTACTGTTTAAAGTAACTATGTTATTTAGTTTACTTTTTATTGCTTTTAAAGTTATTTTGAATTTAGAGCAGAGACTACGTCTCGAGCGGGGTCGAGACGCCATCACGACATTCATTGGTGATACGTGGTTTAGTAAAGTTGGTTGATCTTGGTGGATCATAGAGAGTTCCCCCCCAACGTGCGTTCACCTTGTCGTGGTGGGGGGGCTCAGTAGTGCCCGGCAATCCAACCGGGCGCGAAGCTAAGAAACGCACAGGGAGGTTGCCCACTTCGGTGGGCGGTGGAAGGTGGCCCTCTTCGGGGCGCGGTGTACCATGCGGGTTGCTCCTGGTACTTCTCTGATAGCAGAGTGGACCTTGGAGCAACCCCATGATTGTGGTGGTCTGCTTCGGCCGACCTGCCGTCGGGGCGTCGTAGTTGAATGCGTAAGCGATCCTGCGACGCCCCATTAAGACGGGGGAAGGTTTTGTTGAGTTTTAGTGGGTAGTATATTACGCCGGTGAGTCCCACACGTCGTGCGTAAATGCATTTCCCAACGTTAAAAAAAAAATCATAGAGAGTTATGTTTTGATATTATAGTTGGAAGTCGATGATCGATGACTGTGAACCCGTTGGCTCCACTAAATCATTACCGTTTCCAATTTATAACATTGTGATTTCCCTGATTAAATTGCGTATTGAGCATTGAATACTTTATTAGCCCTGATAACACCCAAAAGATTAGTATTCCACTAAAGATGATGTTCGTAGTAAATGGTAATACGACATACATATATTTGAATAAGAATGTGATATTGATGAACATTTTATATTTCGATGTTGAATTTGTCGCGTATTATAATTTTAAACAAGTTGATTTTCACAGCGAAGTGGGATATGATTTACGTCGTACCTACGTAATGTTACTTCTTCTTCTTCTTCTCCCTGCCCATTTCCCAAATCACTTGGGGTCGGCGCAGTACATCTTCAGTGTACTGCTGATAGGAATATTATGTTACTTATATGTACGTAATGTTACTTATATGTTATTTATTCTAGTTGTCATGTGAGCTGTGTATGCTCTATATATGAGGATATATAGAGCATTTTAAATATGTATTTTTATCATTTATAATCATTAGCAAGAGACCTGATATGTTTCTTTTTTAATTAACAATCTCATCCCACACCAAACGGGTTTTCCTCCACTTATGGGTTCAACTCAAAAATTTACTTTTAGTGCACTCTTATGGTGGACTCTCAAAAATACTTTTTTATGCATCCCCATGACATGGATATTAGGGATGGGACATTTCACGAGTAGCAAGTGAAAAATCACGTGAAATGCGTAATCATACGTCACACCTGCTACTTAAATTCATAGTGGCTGCTACAAATCACAACTTGGTGAAATCTAGAGCTGTAGCAAACCGTATGTATTCGTTACTGAGTAACGGGTACGCCATCTAGTACCGAGTACCGAAACGTTACTCACGAATGCATTTCGTTACTCGCATTTTCCGTATACATTTTCGTACTGATGTTTTTATTGATTTTTTATTCAACAAAATACAATTTTCAGTTAATACCGTTGATCAGTAAATTGGGGAGTTTATTTATTTCGAGTTGCATGATTTCGGATTCTTAGAAATATTGTTTAGAAATAATTTTAAATTAGAAACAACAATTAAATTTAGAGCACATTTTTAGTTTTTTATCCAACAAATACTTATAATTTTTACTGAATGATTATGTGTAATACGTACAGACATAACCACCAACGCTGAGAACGAGCTAGAAATGTTTATTAATGAACCAGTGCTTCCGCGCGATTCTTCGCCATTAGTTTGGTGGAAATCTCACTCCTATATGTACCCCAATTTGGCGGAAATATTTCATGAGCACTGTCACATCGTGGTGACATCAGTGGAGTGTGAGAGAGTATTTTCAAAAGCGGGAAATTTTGCAACCCAAAAAAGAGCACGATTAAGCAGAAAACGAACAGCGGAACTTGTATTTTTAAAAAGCAATGAAGACTATTGTATATAGATATCTCATAAAAAAATCAATCATCAAAAAAATCAAAAAGCAAAAAAAATGATTATAAACAAATTAAAAAAATTAAGAAAAACAAAAAAAAAGTGTATAAAATTCTTTTATAAAAATTCTTATTGTACATAAAAACAATGAACTTTTAAATACGCCAATGTAATTATGGAACTTAGCTTAATACAATTTTACCGTGTGATTACTCTGATATATTTAAAATTCATTTAATTTTACATTGTCAGTCCCAAGCCTGTAGAAGTATGAGGGAAAGTTCATTGTTTGAAAATAGGTTCATTCAAAGCACCATGTACGTATGCAACTACGTCAGATCTATATCTCTGCTCCATATCACATCAGTAGCGCCATTGGTGACATTTCATACTTCATTTTAATAGCAAATAATATAAAGTGTGACACCAGACCGTCGAAATCAAAAATCTATGCGTGAAAAGTAGCAGGTGAAATCACGTGAAAAATTGTTGTAATTTCATCACGTGATAATGATTTAAAAGTAGCAATCATTTCCATGCTTAATGGATATCAAATGAAAGGTTTGCTGGAAGAATACAAATAAAATAAAAACTAAAAAATTAAAAATAAATTAATAGTAAAAAAAATATTTTAAAAAACAAGCTTTTATTTAAATGCTCTAAAAAGAAGACAATAAACTTTAAATTAAATCAAACTCAATAATTTACTACATTACATCTATACTTAATATTATAAAGAGGCAGAGTTTGTTTGTTCGTTTGGTTGAACGCGCTAATATCAGAAACTATTAATCCGATTTGAAAAATTCTTTTTCTTTAGATAACTGGTTTATTAAGGAAGACTATATATCATCCCGGAAAAATGATCGGTTCCCGTGGGATAGATTTGTTTTTGTCTAGGGATGAACTCGAAGCGAAGCGAAGGTGAGTCGCTAGTAATTTATAAGCTTATCCCGAGGTTTACCTGTGTAGATAAACAAGAATATAATATTTAATACTTTTATATCAGACAAGCTTTTATAACATATAAATTGTATAATGTAATAAATTGTTGGGTTTGATTTAATTTAAAGTTTATTTTCTTTTTTTAGAGTATTTACGACTAAATAAAAGCTTGTTTTTAAAATTGTTTTTTTTTTCTATTAATTTATTATCTCGATACAAATAAGTATTTATTTCGAGCGAGATAATCTAATTATGCTAATACTAGCTTGTGGCATTATTAATGCATATTACATTAATATTCTAAATTAAAAATATCTATACTACACGAGTTGAGCCGTGACTTTTCCGGCCTGATTGATACATCAATGGCCAGATCGAACTGTGCAACCTTTTTTTTTTTCTTAACGTTGGGAAATGCATTTACGCACGACGTGTGGGACTCACCGACGTAATACAGCCAGTACTACCCACTAAAACCCAACAAAACCTTCCCCCGTCTTAATGGGGCGTCGCAGGATCGCTTACGCATTCAACTACGACGCCCCGACGGCAGGTCTGCCGAAGCAGACCACCACAACCATGGGGTTGCTCCACAGTCCACTCTGCTTGCAGAGAAGTACCAGGAGCAACCCGCATGGTACACAGCCCCCCGAAGAGGGCCACCTCACACCGCCCACCGAAGTGGGCAACCTCCCTGTGCGTTTCTTAGCTTCGCGCCCGGTTGGATTGCCGGGCACTACTGAGCCCCCCCACCACGACAAGGTGAACGCACGTTGGGGGGGAACTGTGCAACCTATTTTTTTTTTTTTAACGTTGGGAAATGCATTTACGCACGAAGTGTGGGACTCACCGGCGAAGCCAGTACTACCCACTAAAACCCAACAAAACCTTCCCCCGTCTTAATGGGGCGTCGCAGGATCGCTTACGCATTCAACTACGACGCCCCGACGGCAGGTCTGCCGAAGCAGACCACAACAACCATGGGGTTGCTCCACGGTCTACTCTGCTATCAGAGAAGTACCAGGAGCAACCCGCATGGTACACCACCCTCCGAAGAAGGCCGCCTCCCACCGCCCACTGAAGCGGGCCACCTCCCTGTGCGTTTCTTGGCTTCGCGAGTACACTACTGAGCCCCCCCACCACGACAAGGTGAACGCACGTTGGGGGGGTGGAACTGTGCAATCTCGTCCAACTGTGTGTTAAAGGTAAAGTGATCAGAGGGTGAATAAGGGTGACAATCTATATGAGTACTAATATTACGAGTATAAAGAGGTAAAGTTTGTGAGTTTGTGACGTTGTAGGGGGTAATCTCTGGATCTACTGAACCGATTTAGTTGAAATTTGGTAAGAAGATAGTTTGAGACCCTGGGAAGAACGTAGGTACTTTTTGTTCCGGAAATCATGTCTTAAGGGGCTGAAAATGGGGATGAAAGTTTGTATGGGGAATCAAGGTAGAGACGACCCGAGCGAAGCGAGGGCGAGTCGCTTGTATTTGAATAAAAGTATTTCTAGCGTATTAAATAAAAAAAAAACAGGCTTATAAGGCTGCGACAGGACATTTGTTTAGATATTTTATTATATATGTCTAGTATTAGGTTCTTCTAAAGAAGATAAATTAAATATAGAGTAGTAGAACTAGAGTTAACTGGAGCAGTCACAATAAGGTTTTTCCAACTTAGCTTTTACACGCCAAGAGATATTTACCCGGAATCAAAATGACATCATTCTATGTTTAGCCACAAGATTGTCTCTCTGTCTGCCATAAATGGAAAAAAAAATATGCCGCGCACACGTACAGACCTTCACAATTAAATGCTTTAAATGACCGTTCAAAACAATCCAATAGGGATATTGGATTGTTTTGAATTATGACTATAAAATAAATAATTATGAATATAAAATTAGATCATCATCTCAATAAGGTTGATTTAATTTTGGAAACGTGAATAATCAATTGTCTGTCTATTGACAGATATGAAATTAATATTCTTAAATTCAGATTTTGGCGATGGCTGTTCTTGCGAATTTGCAATGCGTAGGCTGTGCCAGATGTTATAAGGACACAGTGTATCAGTGGAGGCACGTTTTCCTCTTCGCTATACACACGAACGGACAGGTGTAAGTGTCGCCAGTGGTCACTAATATTTCAATCACGCAGCAATATAATAATATATTTTAAATGAGTGAAAGTGCGACAGTTAAATTATTTAAGCACATAAGTGGATAGTGCTTTTCTTGCATTATTTTTAAGTATTATTTTAAATATTTCAAGCATGGTAATTGTTTTCGAAATAAGTACCCCTATAAAAAATTGGATTAATTATACTTAATGCTTCAAAAATGAACACAAGCACTTACTTAAGTACCTTCTTGTGAAATCCTAGTCCTATTCTTGTGAAATTCCTATGAACTGCATGGACTCTTCTTACACTTTTTAAAAAATATTTATTTATTTACAGATGGAGGGGAAGATTATGTTGATAGCGTCATTGGCGCTTTTCAGTATTACCTATTGCGTTGAGGGTGAGTACATAAAACTAAAACTAATTATTGTAACGTTGCTTATTAATCATATCTTTTGAATATAATATTTTACGCTGATTTGTATATTTCTTGTCCCGATATGAAACATTCGTCTTGCTCATAAAACACTAAAAAAAAATATCAAAAAAATGATCAAAATTTACTTTTAAGTACTTTTGTATTTTTAAGGAATTAAATGAATTTACGTGTGTATGCATGCTAATTCATACATATATGTATACGTCTTTTCATTTTATTCTTGCATACGTTTTCTGCTCTTTATTTAAATATTAAGTAAGTACCTACAATTTGTAGATTATATATACAAATAAGTGAAAATTTGTTAGTATATCGTCAGTTTGTGAATTTGTTAAAATATGTATTTTATAGCTGATTAAAATGAAATTTAGGTGCATCTTCAATTATAATTATATAAGGTTTCTTCTTTCTGATTATATTATCTTAGAGGTACTTACCTAGTACTAACTCATAACTATCAAAAAAATCGTTTCACTATGTATTCTTTAAGATGTTTAGATATGCATAATCAATCTAAATTAATTTTTTTTTTAGAAAAAAATCACAACGTCAAAACAAAATTTATTGTGCTTTCAAAATTTATTCTAAAATATATCAGAAACTTACATTAAACTTTAAGTCCTACTATAAAAATTATTTCAAAAGAAAATAATATGGAATTTGTACCTACGAGTATATTACAAGACGTCTGCGATAAACAATAGCATTCCCAAGGAGGGTCGACGTCAGGCAAGCAGCCGATCGTAAAACTTTTGCCAAATCGTACCAGCAGTACGGAAGATGTACTGCACCAAGTAATTAGGAAATGGGCGGGGAGATGATGATAATGATAAATAAATCTCAATTAGCTTACTCAGAATCACCTTCGTTATGTGTTTATTATATTTTTGCAATCAACAAAGCACACGTTATCACTTAACCACGCGGAATCGGCCCACATTTATAAATTAATTTACAATGTCCATAATGTGAATGAATAAGCAGCCTTTGCAGATATTTATGCGAGTGTTATAGTTATCGATAATTTACTTAATTTCCATTATATTCTTAATATCTTTTCCAAAGAACTTATAAAGCCTATTTCCTATTATGCATTTTACTTCTATCTGTTTTTGCTTCCTTAATAATGTACTATAATGTCGGAAAAGACTTTAATGTTTTTTTTAATATAATGGTCTAGTTTACTAGTTATTAGTCATTGATTATTTAAAAAAAAATGTATTATAAGAATAAAAAAAAAACCGACTGCATAAAGCTAACAAAAAAAATTTATGAAGGCATTTTAAATAAAACTATCTTTTCGGATTATTTCGCGGATTTATTTTGATTTTTGGTTCCCGACGTTTCGAATGCTATACAGCATCCATGGTCACGGGAGAGACTGAGGTGTTATATGTCTTGAAGGTATAGTTGTTACAAACAGCCTACCCACAATTAACAAAATGAAAACTGCACCAATTACCTTACAATATTTTTTAACTTTAAACATTTTTATAATTTTGATTAGTTTTATAATTGAATATGGAATATTATTTATTTAATTTTTGCTGTTATTCTCATAATTATTATAATTTTAAAAATATTAATTGGTAATCTATATTTAGTGTTGCCATTATTACATTTATAACCATAAAGAAAAATATAAAATATAGTATTAATTATTTAAGCCATATAATTGTTCTATATTGTGTAATTTAAAAAATTAAAATTAATTAAGGATAACAAACTAAATTAAAATATAATTTTAATTTAGTTTGCTATTATCAGTCTCTCCTGTGACCATGGATGCTGCAAAGCATTCGACACGTTGGGAATCAAAAATCAAAATAAATCCGCGAAATAATCCGAAAAGATAGTTTTATTTAAAATGTCAAATATTCGCGTAAATCTAATAAAGTATTAAATTATGAAGAATTATTATTTATGATATTATATTTGTCGTAAGATATATGCACATACATACATATGTATGTCTCCGACTGCATTATAATTTATTATCCTTTTAGTTAGGTTTTAAGCAGTCGGGTTTTTTTTATTTTTATTTACAGTTTTTTTAGACTTTGCCAATTAGACATTTGATTATATTTAGCTATTTTTTTATCCTATCTTAATCCTAGTTTTTATCCTAAATTACATACACACATACATAGTCTGATAAAACATTACCTACCTTCTTTGCATTGCGCAGTCGCGTAAAAAAACATTGAGGCATGCCAACTTTGTTTCGTCCCGTATGATTATATTTTATGAATGTCGATATTTTGTATTATAATATATTCAGTTTGAATAAGTCTTACTGGTTACCTAGTTACTAGTTGTTAGTAGGGTGGACGTACCGGTCTCAAACCAATTAAGGAAAAAAATTAACTTTGGAATGTTGTTATTTTACCTATTTGCGATATTTTGTTATTAGTTTATTTTTTATATTGTACATTATCGAATTAAAAGTTATTATTGAAAAGGAAAACACTTAATTCCTTTTGGATTTTTTATTATTTTACATAGTATTTTAGTAACTGGTTTCAAAGTTTATTCTTAGGCCTAATTAAAATCCGCAAGTATCATTTTCAGTGTTAAAAATAACAATAAAAATTCTTGAAATTTTCATGATAGAAAAGTCCTCAATAGTATAGTATGTCTATCTCCTAAGGTACACTCGCAATATTTATTCTTATCTATACCTATAATAAAACTAACTTAGCCAAATCGAAATGCACGTTTCGCGCAAAAAGTACTGAATCAACAATTTCTCAAGTAAGGGAAGTATACTTTTTTATTTTGTATAATACTTCCCTACTTTTCTATACCTTTGTATGTACATTGCACATATATGTGAATATATATGCAATTTGGTACGATGCTATTCTATACTTACCGTTAAAACGTACCTAGGGAGGAACCCGAGCGAAGCGAGGGTGTATCGCTAGTATATACTCTATACTAATATTATAAAGAGGTAAAGTTTGTGAGATTGTCAGTTTGTTACGTTGTAGGTGGTAATCTCTGGATCTACTGAACCGATTTAGATAAAATTTAGAAAGAAGATAGATCGAGACCAGAGGAAGGACATAGGATACTTTTTATCCCGGAAATCATCCCTTAAAGGGGTGAAAATAGGGATAAAAGTTTGTATTGGGAAGCAAGCTATGGACGAACCCGAGCAAAGCGACGGTGAGTAGCTAGTATAGAATATAGTTCGATTTATAAAGTAACTTAAAAAGGTATAAAGTTTTTTCTAATCAAACTTTTGAAAAATGTAAGAAGAAAAAAAATTGGTGAAAATCAATGAATTTAATTATAATTTAAACCCGCAATTAGTGTACCTATAATCTATGTGGTTAAGAAAGTTTATAGGGTATTATTCAGTTCAGTGACGATTACCTATGACTTGGGAAGGCCGAAGGACCTTCCTATTAACATTAATGATATAAATAAATAAACATGTTGGGACATTAACACACAACACCATCTAGTTCCATGGTAAGCTACTAGGCTTGTGTTATGGATACCAGATAGTTGATACACTACACATGTATAACTTTAAATACATACATATTGTAAATATAATCCATGACTGGAGTACAAACATTCGTGCTCTTTATAAAAATGAATGCCCCCAGCGGGACTCGAACCCGCGACCGCTGCAACAGTAAGTAGTATCACTACAAACTGAAGCAAATTTGTCGTCATATAAAGAAACAATCTATGTTGCCTAGTTTCATTATTAGATATTTGTTTTTGTTACTTATACGCTTAGTACATTTTAAATCCCACGCTTTCATTAGACAATAAATAATAATATTTACATATTCCTAACTTTATTAATGGATTGACCACGTATTGTTATACCCATTAGGCTTCCGATATTCGTTGAGTGAACAAGGGCAAAAGGTACTGTGTGGGCGATAACTCGTTTACACCCTTATATGGTGATCCAAGGTTAAGTGTTGATTCCTCACGGTCAAATAACATATTGCGATTATGCGAACGGTTTTTATATACTCATACGTTTTTTTCGGCTGATTATATTATGTGACATCAATCATCACTTAAAAAATTTTTTACATATTATTTAATTTTTTTTTACATAAGTAATTAATAAAACTTAAATAATTGGATCAATTCAAGAATCGTACCTACAAAGTCTAGTTCTAAATTTTAAGCTATTTCAATCACAGTAGAAAAGAATGCTGTTTAAATTACCTAGATTTCACATAAAACTACATCTCTTTACAGCCCAACGTTTTTACAACTATGCCCCACGAGGATATCAAGGACGCAATCTGTACGAGCACGGGCGGACCATATCCGACGAGACGGTTCGATGTGGACCACACACGTGCGGCGTCGGCGCGCACTGCACACATGGCAGTGTCAGACCAGTCTGCGCCTGTCTCCCAGGATACTCTGGAGACCCATTGTCACAGTGCGTGAAAATCGAGTGTGTTGGTAAGATCTTCATATCGTACATCCTTTTGTAACTTCTGGCTATTATTAAGATAAAAAAGTAATGTCTTGTACATTTATTTTTTTTCCTACCAATGGTCGAAATATAAATAATATATATTTTCTTAATAGATAACAGTGAGTGCCGCAGTCACCAATCGTGTGTGAACCAACACTGCATCAATCCTTGTGAAGGAGCCTGTGGATTAAATGCCAATTGCGATGTAAGTATTCTTCATTTTATTATTGCTTAGGTACATCTTTTCATTAAGTCTGTATCCGTGTATAGTATAGTCTCCATTAAATTAAAAATATACTTTATAGGTCCGTCATCATGTTCCAGTTTGTTCTTGTCCTCCTGCGTACACCGGAAATCCTTTCACGTCATGTAGAATCGCTGATCCTGGTATGAATATTGAATAAAAAAATACTGGGGCTTAAAGGGCTTTCTTAAACTTCTGAATTGCGTCTGAATCTTTAATATGGACAAATAACAAATCATATTACTTTTTTTATAATCATATGTTTTTGTATTTATTTGTCTTTTTTTACTTATTTAATCGTACATATATTTGTATTATTTTTAGAGGAAGCCTGCCATCCCTCTCCTTGCGGACAAAACACTAATTGCCACGTCGAAAACAACCGAGCCATTTGTACCTGCTTGCCGGGATACTTGGTAAATAAAAAATACTTCTAGGTATATATTACATATTCAAAATACTTATGGGCTATGGTCTCCGGTAGAAATACGGGTTGACAATCTAGCTGGTGTGCATAAATCCTAGGAGGGTTGAAATTTTAGTGCTAGATTTTATACCCTAATTTACATCTACGTGTATTAGTTCGTTTGTTGTTTATTTTTGTTAATATTTTTAGTTTGCTAGGGCCTAGGTCCTCAAATATACCTTTATCTATACTAATATTATAAAGAGGCAGAGTTTGTTTGTTTGTTCTTTCGTTCGTTTGTTTCTTTGTTTGAACGCGCTAATCTCAGGAACTACTAATCCGATTTGAAAAAATCTTTTTATATTAAATAGTCCGTTTATTGAGGAAGACTATAGGCTATATATCATATAATATAGAGTGTATCTATTCCATACTAACCGTTAAAACGTACCTAGGGACGAACCCGAGCGAAGTGAGAGTGAATCGCTAGTTTATAATAATAACATGATTTTTTTAAACACAATATCTGTCACGTATTTTGTACAGAATATAGATCCAAAAACAATAGTTATCATTTTTTTTGTTTGTTTGACTGTATGTCTGTGTGTCTGTTTATCTGTATGTCTCTGTGCGTTTCATACAAAAAGTACTGAACCGAAATTTACATGGCTAACGCTGGTTAAACCTAAAGAGATACATTAAAACAATGTAAATTGTAGGTCTTTAAAAGGCCTACAGAAAAGTCTGCATTAGCATAATAATTATGTCACGTACATTATAAATCAATATTTTTAAGCAGCTATATATATTTCATGCGAGTACTATTTATTATTATTTATTTAAACAATGACGATTTAATATTAAAAATATCGTGTCTTAATGGCCCTGCGTAATTAATATAAGATTGTGGGTTCGATAATCGCACATAACAAACGTTTGTTTATGGCATAAAATATAGATAATTTATCAAAGTATTTTTTTTTCTGCTTTCAAGTTTCAACATTGCTATACTCAATCAAAGTGACATTAATTAACAGGGTAGTCCATTGGCTGGCTGTAAGCACGAGTGCGACTCAGACAGCGACTGCGGTTCGCACCAGTCGTGCCGCGACTTCAAGTGCGTGAGTCCCTGCAGTGACTGCGGTGTCAACGCGGACTGCGAGACCGTCGCCCAACACCGCGCGGTCTGCAAGTGTCCCAGGGTAAGCAATACTTGCAATCTATTTTAGACTAATCATATTCGTAACTATAGACTAATCAAGTCGTAAACCTTTTTTGGGTAATAATTTATTAATTAATTACCTACTTAAGTTTTCTGATTGCATTAATATTATTGATATTTACATATTATGTGTCCATATATAAAATTATCGATTATTTATATACGTTTTAGGGCTACTTCGGCGACCCATATAGGATTTGCTCAGCCGAATGCACTTCAGACAGTGAATGCCCGAGCTACAAGCCTGCCTGTGTCTACAACGCGTGTATCAACCCCTGCACTAATGCGTGTGGTGTGAATGCGGACTGCAACCTACGCGGGTTGACGCCGGTGTGCTCCTGCCCTAAGACTATGACTGGCGATCCTTTCACATTCTGCAGGCCCTTTGAAGCGCGTAAGTTTAAATATACATACATGCATATATTATGTAAGTCTACATTAGATATAAAATTGTACATCTACTTACGCATAATTTTTTAAAGCCGTTATAGATCGAGGTGCAGTGTACCTAGTATGTTTTATTCTCGACCATCAGTCTTTTATTTTCGACAACACAAATATTGTCTCGTAGTGTAATTTGATAGTTAGACGATATTATTAAAGTATCTCATCCTCGAAATTGAAGCAATAATTTACTTAATTCTGCGCTAGTGTGTTTACGCTCGAAGGCCATGACCGCCGATACCTTCACATTTTGTACGCCTTGTGAGGCTTGTGAGTAAGACTTCTGTGTCATACACTGCTTGTTGACATAAATAGTCATGGCGTGTAGGAAGTGTTGAATAAGGATTGCATAATTTTGCTAAATTTGCATTATAGTTACGCTTAAGCCTAAGCTGTATATACTAACTTATAATATTAAGTATTAGAGAATGTAATGTGTAAGTAGTTGTATTTTAATTTTTAACGTTAATCAAAAAATAATTTACTAGCCGATAACGGCCATGAACAGTACAATATTAATTGTAAAACCTACGTTTAACTTCAATAATTAACTATAGCAATTATTATAAATCGTACTATAAATTTGACAATTCAAAAGTGTACATTTTCAACTGAAATACATATTACTTTAAGTTTTTAATAGAAAATATAAAATAAAAATATATATAATTTTATCATTTATAAAATTTGAATTTATGTAAAGGTGACCTTTGCGAGCCCAACCCTTGCGGTGCTAACGCTAAATGCACGCCGGGACATGATCGCACCGGCGCCGAACGCCCAGTCTGTACGTGCCCTGCTGGATACATCGGTAATGCGCTCGTCTCTTGTGAGAAGGTAACTATTTAAAATAAAATATAAAGTATTATTATAACATTTACTTATTAATATATTGTTGTTATAATTTATTTAATTGTAGTAAAAATGTGAATAAATACGTTACTGGCGTTTAAGTCGAACGGTAAACATACGATACTTAATGTGTATTTTTTATCAGGGCCAGTGTGAATTAGACACCCAATGTCCGGACAACTTAGCGTGCGTCGGCTACCAGTGCGTGGACCCGTGCCTCGGTAACACGCAGTGCGGCGCTGGCGCCGTGTGTATGGCGCGCCGCCATATTGCTGTCTGTACTTGCCCTGGGAGTAAGTAATTTTTTTTATCTAAATAAATATTGGATATTCAATTATTTTTTTAAATAAAACTTAAGCAAATAAATCCTACTGTTAATGTTTAGAATGATTAATTTAAAGACGTTGCCACAGTAGTATAATACAGTGCATTGCCTATAGCATAAAATTCGGCTGAAATTGGAACGCAATTAAAATTAAATACATATGTCCCTACTATCAATACTCTACTATAATTTAGTAATTTATGATGATTTAGAAGAAAATATATGTAGAAATGCCTTTATATTTTAATGTTTTTATTTAATTTTAAAAATATTATAATACTTATTAAAATATCACTTAGGTCACCATGGAGACGCCCTCGTAAGCTGTTACCAGACGAATTCTGAAGTGGCATCCACACGCTACTATAGATACAAGCGCAACGGTAACTTTACCGAGACTGTGGAGCCTCCACAAATCACTGCCAATTTGAACAGCACTGCCGAAACTGATACGAACGAAGACAAAAAAGAATAAACTTGCCTGTATTACATATTCGTAATTTAAATAAAAATTTACAAGGAATAAAATTGATCCTTTGTTTTAGATAGTTTGATTTAAATAGTCTCTAACATAGGATCGACAATTTATGTTAATGGTTTTAAAATAAATATTAATTCAACATTACAAACTTTTTTATTGAAGTTCCGGTTTGAATGATTGGTTTAGAACTCACTAATAAATAATTAAACTATTTTTTATTCATTTAGTTATTAAAAGATTAAAAAGCTAATTACGTAGTGGTTTTAATACTGCCCGTTTTATTGGAGCGAAATAAAATAAACCAGTTATCTGTGCAACCACGATAGGTAGATATTGCTTAAAAATAGTCAAAAAAATTGAAACATCGTTATTAGATTTAAGATACATCTGCCAATGCATTTATCTACGAGTATCTATCTATTATATAATATATACGATAATGTATTAATAAGTATTAATAAGTTTGTCTGTTTGGATGTGCGCGTTTCACGTAAAAGGTACTAAATAATTTACAAATTTTATATTGCTAACGCTGGCTTTACCTTAAGATATAGGGTAAAGCCGAAATAGATGCCACACTTTTTGGAAAGTACGCCTAATTAAAAACTATTAACTTAGTATATTAACAATTAATTAATGGTGTGGCAGAAATTGAGTTTTTGCAAAGCCATTTTTATGAGGATTAGGTGCCTACGTGCAAGGATTGATGCCCCACTATAAAAATGCTAAGGGTAGATGCCCATAGGCCATAGTGCAGGATAGATGCCCTCCCTATTGAATAATATGATTAAAATAATATATGTTAAAATGTTTTATTTATAGCAATATAACATAACACAATTAAATACTTTCTTAATATATTGAACTTAAGTATATTAAGGATCAAGAAAGTCCTCAAGATCGAAATCGTCCTTTTCATTTGGCATCTGTCACTAGAAGTCTAAATTTAGATTTTCGGGGTACCAGACCCGTTGCGTCATCCGCCATCTTGAATATATTAAGGGTTGATTTTTTATATTGAATAATTAACTCGATAATATCCAATTTTTACACGAAAAATAGTGTTCACTAAAGTTATTTTAAATTAAATTTCCTACAATTTTGGTTCTTATCAATTTTTAAATAGTAACTCAACGAAAAAGTAACTATAAATAAAAAATAAATAAGTATAAATAAAAAATCATGAAGTACGAAGGTGAAATTGAAAGCTATCATGCCTTTTATTAATTTAATACTCTTCTTTCCTTAAAGCCCAGTCCTTTGGTAGTTACGTGGAAAGTTTTCTGGGAGTTTTGAAAATTGGTGATTTTATAGATTTCGATGTTCTCTTTCCGAATTTCAATTTTGCTACCTCTTTTTGCCATTATGGAAAAATGGTGCCTTATGGTAGTTTTATAACCTGATGTGATGACTGAGATGTTTTATATACAAAATTAAACTAGAGAAAATTTCGTACAATTTATATAATAGACATTTTTTTTGTAAAATCAATAGTTTTGGCGTATGAGCGCCGCAAAGTGTACTTTAACATGCGTTTTGGCTGAAAAACTCATTTCCACATCACTTTGAGTTAGACTAAGTGGCGCGTTTTTTATCATAGTATCCTATCCCAGTAGGCCTAATTCATATGCAATGCACTATTACAATATTTACCACATTCTCCTTCGCTCATCACTAGATAGGGTGAAGAGGAAGAAACGAAGATTATTCTTGAGCAAACATAATGCGAGTAGGTATGTTGAAATCGAGAAAGAAGAGGTTTGCAACGAAGTTGATAATCCCATCCTGGATGATGAGGAGGAAATTCCTATGTGTGACGCTTCGATCGGTACTGAAGGCGATGAACTTGCAACAACCCCTGTTCCATTAAGAATTTCGAAGCGAAGGAGAATGCGCTAAATATTTTAATAGTGCATTGCATGTGAATTAGGCCTACTGGGATAAATTTGGGTTAATTCTTTAGTTGGAGTTAATGTCACGTTTCGAAGCTACTTTTTGAAGAGATATTTGTTGCCAGTTTCAAATAAATGGTAAATGAAATTATTGAACGTTAGCATTGCCCGCGGCTCCGCCCGCGTTCAGATGACCAAAAACCAAATTCTTATGTAAAAACATATTAGTATACTCTTATAATGCAGTTTTATATTTTTTCTCAAAAATGAGATATTTTCCCGCGGTAAAAAGTATCCTATATGTTGACCCGAATAACCAGCTATCACCATACCAAATTTCATCAAAATCCCTCCAGTGGTTTTTCTGTGATGCGGTAACAGACAGACAGAGACAAAAATTCTAAAAACTATAGATTCGGCCTCTGTATCGATAATTATATTTATTTCAATAAGATTTTCCAAAAATATTTAATGTACAGATTCGGCTCTGTTACAATTTGATTATATGTATAGATTATTGCTTCACATTTACGTAAGCCGGAATGTATATTGATTTGACAGTTAACAACTGACACTTGCAAATACAAAATGCAAGTTGACATTTGATGGGTTGATTGATACGTCCTGTCGTTCGATTATCGAATGATGTGAGAAACAGTATATTATTTTGTTGTAAATTATTTATCAATATTGTAAATATTTATGCGAAACCATGTCTGATATTAATATGGAGAAGTTCGCGGTACCAGAATTTGTATCGGAACGGTATGTAAAAGAGTTGGCGAAGTCATGTGTCGGAGGGGAGGAGCTAGCCCAGCAGAAGGAGAAAATCAAAACTTTAGCTGAAGAAACCGCAAGTGCCCTGAAGAAAAATGTGTATGAAAATTATATGCAGTTCATTGAAACTGCAACTGAGATATCTCACTTAGAAACTGAAATGTACAAACTCTCTCATTTGTTAAGTGATCAAAGAATTGTTCTTTCCACATTATCACAAGCATCGATTTTAGGGAATGAAAATACATTGTCTCGAGAGTCATTAGATAACCACAACTTAGAAGTTGAAAGAGCTGAAGAAGAACGTAAAAATAAACTTAATTCTATATCAGAAAAAGTAGAAGGCTGTATGAATTTACTAGACGTTCCAGAAAGACACTTATTACATGAAGGTGATCTACTAGAAATAGACGCCGAAGAGAATACTGCTCTTCAGAGAATGCATGTTTATTTATTTAATGATTGTTTAATGTTGACCTCCTGGATATCAAATAGACGTGGGCCAATGAGATATAAATTTCAAAATAGTTACCCTATTAGTACTTTAGCTGTAGTTAATGTGCGTGACTTAGGAACTGTAAAACAAGCATTTAAAGTTTTAGCGTTTCCTGACACCAGAGTATTTCAGTGCAACAGTTTAGCAATTAAAAAGGACTGGCTTGACAAATTTGATATAGCCAAGAAATTACATGTTGAAAAGGAAAATTCAAAGCAAAAGAAAAAAGATTCACAAGATAAGCTTAAACATGAATCAGTAGAGTCTCCAAGTCTTTCAGTTGAAGAGATACCTTCACCCCAAATAACCCCTTTGCCTGATTGGCTAGCTGATGTCACAGAAGAGTTAGATGTTCTTATTGTAGAGAGACATTTTCAAAAAACCTATGACTTAATGATATCTGCTCAAAATACATTGAACACAGAGGATTTTATAAATCACCCCCAAAGAAATGAAATACTAAAAAAGATAGATCACAAACAGAAATCTTTAACTGAAATATTATTAAAGGAGCTTGATGTCACCCACAACTGGAGTCCAAGGGGTGGTTTGAGGTCATCTCGTTACCCTGTTCTAATACTCAATAAATTTAATATGACTAGTCAGGCCTGTGAACTATTTCTAGATATATGTAGTCACACAGTGAAAGCTCATATCAAAGCGGTTCAGTTAGAGGGTTCTATATTCAGTTATGTAAAACAAGTGGGTGAAGTGTTTTTCTGCTCACTGAGTGATGCCTTAACAGAGTTTATTTCATTATTTCCTAAAAATAAATTAAGTGCTTTCATAGTGTGGGCTAGTATGCAACTTAGAATTCTGATGAGTCAAATTATTAAGCAAGTATTTACTCCACAATGTGCTTTAGACTCAGTTTTAGAGTGTGTTCAGAGTTTACGTGACCAATGTACTCTATTCTGTGAATTTGGTTTAGATTTAAGATTTCAAATGAATAGCTGTTTGAGAACACCTATAATAAAGGCATTGAATGAGTATAAGGAAAAAATTGTTGATTCAATGAAAAATAAAGTATCTGAAGATAAGTGGACTCCTGTTAACATGCATACTAAAGCTGGAGTTAGTAAATTTTTAATACAAATGGAAAATTTGGGCCTTATCTTAACTAAATATGTAATAAATGAGACATGGGTGGACTTATCAAGTAGTACCATATGGTTTGCACAGTCTATTCTTACTGTGCAAAATGTTGGCCTACATATAGTTACAAAGGATATGATGGATGTTGTTGATGAATGTATCTATGCAATATTTAATTCTCGCCTTACATTTACTAACAATAATGAGTCAAATTATGCACATAAGAATATCAAGTTTATATTGGAAACTTTAATGCCACTGATGGTTAAAAGTTACAAAGAGAAAGCTGGTTATGATAATGAAAAATTATTAGATTTAGCAAAGAAGTTTGGTGTCAATATTGTGAAGAAATCTAACATCACAAAATATACAAGTAATGAATACTTATGAGAGTAGTCAAGCCCAAACATCTGTCAGTGTTGGTGTGAAAATTATTTTTATTATGCTGAAGCTTTAATAATGTAAAATATAGAGAGTAAGCGTGCAAGATTTTGTAAGTTTATTTAAACTGATCAAATTAAAATTTATATTATATGCAAAGTTAAATAATATTAAATTTTAATAAACCAAAACACATGGTTCATATGGTTTTATTTTATACATTTTAAGGCAAGAACTTTGAGTTTGATAAGAATTAGTACAAAAATAATACTATAAATATTTTTGAATAAATGTATTTATAACATAATAATAAAAATATAGTATACATTATAATAATTATGAAGAGGTACTGAATATAAATCTAACTAAAAAGTTTAAACACAACTAACTATTCAGACTCCATTAATGTTTCAATAAATGTGTTGCCATTTATTAATTTTGTGGTTAGCACAACAAATTCTACATTAGAGTCTTCTTGCTGACTGATATTTCTTAAAGCCGATATTTCATAGTAAGTGCAGCCTCCGATAAAGAAAACTAGAATAACTTTAGGGCTTTCTATGGAGGACGAATTTTCGCTGGAAATAGAATTGCGTCGAGTCATACGAGGTTGTAGGCTTTGGAGTTCATCTATTGTTGGACCTGGAAGAGAACCCAAGACATCTGCAATACCTGTAAATAAAAAAAATGACCATTAAACTTGGCCTAAAAACCTAATTTTTTATTAATTTAAATTTATATCAATATTAGCAACAGATTCATGTATTTTTTTAGTACAATTAATATACATTAAAAGAAGAAATACATACTTTACATGTATCTTGGAGGAGATTTGTATTTTTTCTAAATAAATTAATATTTATAACAAGTTGATAGTAGACAATATTATAAAAAACAAGTATGTCTGTCATATTTAAGAAAATTTTGTCTGGCGATGAGCATGGAACGATTTAGAAATTTAACTTTATTGATATTGCAGTTATAATATGTAGTGTAACGGTTTACTTTATAAGTAACGCTAATTTATATTTTAGTAAGTAGTAATCTCATTGTACATATTATGTGTATACGTCATGCAGTTATATTTCAATTGTACGCGACAATGCCAAATATACCTAATATTAGTTAATAGCCTGATAACATCATGCTTTTATCAATATTGTTAATGTAATAAATACTTTTTTAGTCATTTTTACATGAAGTGTTGCATTCAGATTATTATATGTGCCTAATATTATATTTCAAGTGGTAATTAATTAAACAATAGAAGATTTTTGAATGCTTTGAATTTATTTTCAAGTTTCAAATCTTGAGATTACGTGCTCTTTCTTCAAAATTATTAACAGTATTGGGTATTAAATCTTTATTTTTTTTCATGTTCGCACATGGAACTACCAGAAATAGAGTATGAAATTTTCTTAGGGAAACATATTTATATTTTCTGAGTTGAAAGTCTTATTGACGATGTATCAATATTTGTCTGTCTGTTTGTCTGTGACCGCATCACGAGAAAACCACTGGACAGATTTTGATGAAATTTGGTATGATAAAAGCTGGTTATCAGAGTCAACATATATAGGATACTTTCTACTGCGGGAAAATATTTCATCTCTGTGAAATCTATACTAACCGTTAAAACGTACCTACGGACGAATTCAAGCAGAACAAGGGTGAGTCGCTAGTAATATATAAATTTAGTTAGCATATTTTGAATATAACCTATATAATTAGCGACTTTTTAAATAAGTTCATTCAAATCCACTTAATATGACAATTTGTTATCTTACCAGCCCATCCCTTATTTTTAGCAATATGCTCACTGAGACGTACACTCAGCGGCACATATTTACATGAGAGGAAGCTTTTCTCTTTTGTATCTAATTCCGACCCATCCATCGTTAGGTGTAATGTCTGCAAAAACATAAAAAAAAATTATTTTGAAAAATTGTAAATATTATAAATAAAATAATATAAATTATGAGGTATGAATATGTACTACTACTGTTATAGATTTTAATTAATATTATTTGTAGAACATAACCAATGTACTTAAATGTTCGTCCCGAGATAAAAACAAATCCCACGGGAACCGTACATTTTTCTCTCAATGAAAAAGAATTTTTCAAATCGAATTAGTAGTTCCTGACATTAACGCGTTCAAACAAACAAACTCTGCCTCTTTATAATATTATATTATTATTAGTAATATAATATTGCGGACAGTCTTAATATTAAAATGCAAATGTATATTTATTGGTATTATCTTTCACGAAACAATTGGTCTCATTTATTAAATTCTTCTACATTTTATCCTTTAGGACTTATTATTATATATTATTCAGGCTTTTTTAACGTCTCACTGCTGGACACGGGCCTCCCTTCAATACGAGGGGGATCAGGCCATAGTCCACCACGCTGGCCAAGTGCGGGTTAGCGGAATTCTCATGTCTTTCGAAAACTTGCTAGGTTCTCTCAGACATGCAGGTTTCCTCTCGATGTTTTCCTTCACCGTAAGACAAGTGGTAATCATGTTGGAAAACATTCGCACATGAAAATATCAGAGATGCGAGACCCGGGATTTGAATCCTTTAAGACTAACTACTAAGAAACGCCAGGAAGAAGAAGCGCCTGAACAAAGCCTCTCTGTATAATTTAAGTACAAACCTTTCTTAACACAGCATACTGTCTTGTCCCTGATTGCGGTTTGAGCAGTCCGCACTTTTCAAGGTTACAAAGTGTTAGCCACGTTTTGAGTCCATACACTTGAACTAACTCGCGTTTGTAGTACTCTAGAACTTTGGCTTTCAATCCTGAACCCGTCACACATTGCAGACAGATGAGGCGAAGCACCTTAAAATTTATATAAGAATTTTTAGCAATTTTCTAAAGATGTTTATATGAGAGCATTCTTCAGGTATAATCTCTCATGTCTCATGAAAATGTCTGTTTGTGATGTCAAAATAATTGCTTTGTACTAAATGCATATGAAAGTACCTATATGTATATGGAACTTACAAAAAAATTTTTAAAATTTTTTGTCTGTTTGTTCTGGCTAATCTCTGAAACGGCTGGACCAATTTTGACGGGTCTTTCACTGAAAGATAGCTGATTTTATTCGGCTACTTTTAGAAAAAGAATGAGGGTTCCGTGCAAAAAATATTTAAACCCATGAAATTGTGAACAAAATGCTCGCGATTATATCGCGTAGCGTAGTATACACTTGACAACAAAACCACTTACTTTAGTAATAGGAGCTTTTTGAGCAATGAGATCTTCTATAAAAGTGCAGACTTTCTCATTATCAATGCAGTTCAAGAAATCTTCCTCGCATTGTATTGTGTCGTGAAACTCGAACGAATCAGTTGTCTGAGAAACAATAAATTAATGATATTAAAATAATGATTTTGTCATATTTTCCATGGATACAATATAAGGAAACGTTTCCATGAAGTAAGTAGATTGGAGTCTACTAGAAGAAAAACTAACTTGATAGGTATCATTATTACAAGAGTCCTAAAACAAAAAACGAATCAATCTATTTTGTACGAATGAATATTAATTAAGAAATATCTAATGCAGAATTCCACTATTTTCTATCTGCCTGATCATGGTCTCAAATCAAATTATTGTATTATCATCAGGATTTCACGTACTTACGAATTCGAATTATACGCGTAAAAATTGACTTCCAAAATTTGATTATAATCATATATCTATAATGTATATATACGAATACATTCATTTATTTATATACAACATATATATAAAAAAAAACAATCATTTAATAACTCTACATAATGAAACAAATTGTGTGGGTACTTTATATGTTTTATGTAGCAATATCAAAACATATGAAGACAATAAAGCTGCTGAGTCGACATTGTTATTAAAAAAGTTCAATGCCACTTCACTATTTTCAAATCAAAGTTTTTTAATCAAAACCCTAAAAAATTTAATATAAAGTATGAAAAACATTTATACGTTATAGAGCTTTTTATTCATACTTACTAATTACCTATTAAAAATGCCAAAGTTTATTGGTCTTCTAGTTTGTTCATTTTAATGCACGCAGTGATCTCGTTAAATGAGCCTCGAAATGAAAAGAGTTACAAATGAATTGAAATATCATAAATATATCACTAAAATCGAAAAAATCAGTGTAGTGGTGTTGAGAATTATTTTTTCAAAATCAGCTTTCAAGAAAGTAAAATAGCGTACACTTCTGTATGTTTAATTTCTTTTAAATCTATACTACTATTATAAAGAGCAAATATTTGTACTTTTGTAAGTTTGTAACGAATAAACTCAAAAACTAACGGACTGATTTAGATGAAATTTGGTAAGAAGATAATTTGAGTCCCTAGGAAGGACATAGGATATATTTTATTTTAAAAATCATCCCTTAACGGGGTGAAAATGGGGATGAAAGTTTGTGTGGTGAATCAACCTAGAGACGAACTCGTGCGAAGCGAGATTGAGTCGCTAGTCTAGTATATTTCTAAATTAAGTACATATGTACCACCAAACGTAAATGTGGACGAAATTTCGACGAAATTAAAATCTATACTAATTACTAATATTATAAAGTGGCAGAGTTTGTATGTTTGACCGCGCTAATCTCAGGAACAACTAATCCGATTTGAAAAATTCTTTTTGCATTAGATAGCCCGTTTATTGAGGAAGGCCAGGGTAAGGCTATTGTCTTCCTCAATAAGTGGATCTATATATATATATATATATATATATATATATATATATATATATATATATATATATATATACTAGCGACTCACCCTCGCTCCGCTCGGGTTCATCCCTAAGGTGGTCCACCCTTATCACTTAGGGGTATGGAAAATAGATAGTAGCCGATTCTCAGACCTACTGAATACGCATATAAAATTTGGTAAAAATCGGTAAAGCCGTTTCGGAGGAGTACGGTAACTAACATTGTGACATTGAAATTTTATATTATATATATAATATATAGCCTATAGTATAGGCTATAGTACCTGGGCGACCGAGCCTTGCTCGGAGTGTTTGGCCAAAAAAAACAATAAAAAGAAAAAAACTAAGAATATGAATAACTACAAAAAAAAAACAAAATTAAAAACTTTGTGTCCGACCGGGATACGAACCCAGACACCTGTGTTGTCAAATTTGCGCATTGGCCGCTTGACCATGATGCTTATTTCTGAGCATGCGAAATTATCGAACATAATATTTTGCGTGGAATTATTAATTTATTGAAATAATGCAAAAGGAATCATAATAATAATAAAGCTCTATTTACCTATTTATTCATTTATTTATTATAAAGGCTTACTAACTAAATTTACATAAAAACATTTATTTAACATTATAATTTTACCTATTTGTATATAAACTTAATTTAAAAGTATGCACAGCATTTTATAAAAGTATTCCATTAAAATTTTATTTGGTTAAGAGTATATAAGGAGCCGTTTTAGTTGTACAATAAACAAAAGAAGAAAAAAACTAATCTAAATATTTAAATACACTTTCTTTTTAAATAAATTTAAACTATCAGAAAAAATGTCTATATCACATTGTTGAAATATAAAATTATATAATTTAGTGACTATTTATTAACTTATAATTTTTTAACTAATAATTTTGTAATCTGGAATTAAATTATTTTAAAAATGTTTAATATTATTTGAAATTATATTGTATATATATAAATTATCATTAACAAATAAATAACAACAGTAAATTAAATAATTCAATTGAGTAAATACTAAACAATTCACAATAATACATATAAATAAAATTTCTTTCCATACATTAATTCTGACAATAGTTATAAATTAGGTATTTAATTTCATAATTAAATGTATTTATTTAGTAAATGTCTTTTTCATGTATAGACCCCTCTCGGTTAAAAGCCTCCTCCAAAGTAGTCCTGCATAGAGCTCTCCGTTGGAGATTATGCTTGTATGATTGCAAAGGGTTTCTTTTCAAATTTTGTTTCCAATATACTATAATTTGTTTCTGATATGCCTATAAAGTTTATAATTTTATCTTTGTGTTCTTTTGATTTGTTGTAAGAAATGCTGCTTTTAATTCTAGAAGTTTTTCTGGTGAAGATATATATTACCTGTGTTGTTTTTAGTTCTTCCTGGTTATCATTTGTGTGGTTGAAAGTTAATTTTGGTATTTGTAATATAAAGTCTTTAATATTAGCAGGTTTGGTTTTCTTTGTATGTTATTTATTTGTTAGTTTTTGTTTATAATTGAGGTAAGGCGTTTCTGAAAATACAGGCAGACTTCTTTTATTTGAGTATTGGCGAGAAGTGTTCTTATTATTATCCACAATAATTAGTTTATCATATTTAATGAAAGCTGTTTTGCCAAGGTCTTTTTCTTTATCTTCAGTTGGGCTTGTAACTCCTTGCGTTTATTTAAGACTTTATTTTTTCCTCTAGTTCATGATAGGATTTTTCACCTTTTTCTCCTCCGAACATAACCAAGTTCTTGCGCCTAATATGTCTTTCTAAATTATTTATTAAGGATTTTTTTTATTTCTAAGTGTTTAAATTTCTCATTTAAGTATATTATATTGTTGATTGTATTTTTAATGTCTTCTTTCATTTCTAACATTTCTGTTTTCTGCTGTCTTATTTCTTGTTGCATGTTTATTAGCAACTTTTTTATCTCCTCCATCTTAAGTGTGAAGTCGGAAGTAGAAAAGCTGATTGAAAAAGAGCACCAATTATACCTAGTTGAATTGCAATTTTATACAGAGTATTAGTTTTTGAGGTTATAAACTTATGTTTTAATATTTTACGCTTCCACTTCACAAATTATTTTGTTTTATTGTCATCACACACAGAAAAGATGGTTTTGCACTGATAGTATCTGTATGTTATGTTTCTCACTTTTGTATTTGTTTGGTAGGTGAATTTTTAAAAGCTCATTTGTTCTTCAACACATCAAGACTTGGTGATATTGCCCATAGGTTTTATCGATTAATATTTCTTAAAATTATTATTAAATTAATTAGAATTTTCTTTAGATTATTTTCACTTAAATATTTTTAAACTTGATGTAAATACGGACACGATATTGACAGTTGTACAGTGGCGCCTCCCACCCACCAGAAGTGACAACTGACAATGCAAAAATTGTGAAAATGCAAAAGAAAACCGCATGAAAATTCGAAAACACGCGTTTTTCCAGACATAAGACTAATCTAGATCGATTTATCGCCCCCGAAACCCTTTGTATACTAAATTTCATGAAAATCGTTGGAGCCGTTTTCGAGATTCAGATTATATATATATATATATATATATATATATATATATATATAAGAATAGCTCGTTTAAATATATAAGATATCATGCTACTACCCAATGGAGCGGAGCGATAATACAATATATAGTCTATCTATTCCATACTAACCGTTAAAACCTACCTAGGGACGAACCCGAGTGAAGCGAAGGTGAGCCGCTAGTGTTATATAATTACGTAATATGTACCTATATAAAATATTAATTAACCTAGGGGTATGGAAAATAGATAGTAGCCGATTCTCAGACCTACTGAATACGCTGAAAAATTTGGTAAAAATCGGTAAAGCCGTTTCGGAGGAGTACGGTAACTAACATTGTGACATTGAAATTTTATATTATATATATATATATATGTATATATATATATATATATATAATATATAGCCTATAGGCTATATATCATGCTACTACCCAATGGAGCGGAGCGAGAATACAATATATAGTCTATCTATTCCATACTAACCGTTAAAACCTACCTAGGGATGAACCCGAGTGAAGCGAAGGTGAGCCGCTAGTGTTATATAATTACGTAATATGTACCTATATAAAATATTAATTAACCTAATGATTATTATCTGTTATTATATTATTTGATTCTACTTTTTAATAAAAATAGATTATTTATTGTTACTTGTAAAATATTCAATCGAATATAAATACTGATTTTGTACTTAGAGATATTGTATTCAGTCCCTTTTTTTAACGTCCCACTACTGGGCACGGGCCTCCCATCATTACAAGGGGGATCAGACCATAGTCCACCACGCTGACCAAGTACGGGCGGACCTCACATGTCTTTCGAAAACTTACTAAGTTCTCTCAGACAAGCAGTTTTTCACGATGTTTTCCTTCACCGCTAGACAAGTAATCATGTTGGAAATGATTCGCACATGAAAATATCAAAGGTACGAGACCCGGGATTTGAACCCGCTTAACTCGGTTTCCCAAGTAAGCGTTACCACTGGGCTATCACTGCCTATCTAATTATATAATAGCACTTTATTTTGATCTTTTTTTAGAGTTACCTCTTTAATATATTCGGCGATGGCGGTATGAGTGGCCAAGGACTGCTTGTTGGCCAACATCTGCGGTAGGCGGGACACAAACTGTTTGATCTCTTGTACTGATTTGTCGTTGTGCCTCTCGTCCAACTGTGTCTTAATTACGCGGGCCTTTTTAGCTAATGCTGTTCCCACCTGAATATGTAGAAAAAAATAATATTAAGAAAATTATCGTTGCGTTTGAACGTTTTAGAAATATTTAAAGTCAAAAGTCTTATTTCTGTTATTCATTCTTGCAACATTGACTCTGTTTTGGCGAATACATGGAGGCGCGTTACGGTTTAAAGTTCTGATATTACTATGTATCATGTATAGTATAAAGATAGAAAAATTAAATTAAGAATTCATAAAACTGACTCAAATAAGTATTAATATAGTATAAGTTTATAGTAATATTTTGTATTCAAAAATAAAAATTTTCTTATATTACCGTAGCAAAATTGGCGTCTCTCAATTCCGCAAATAACTCTTCGCTGGAGTTCAATATGATCCTTTTCCGTTCCCGTGCGGTCACTTCGGGGCTCGCGTCGTCCGGACTGACAAACTTATGGCCGGGGAACGTCGCCGTGGAATTTTTTATGCCGTATATCTCATCTATATAAATATATATAAAAAATTTTGATTAAGCAAATATCACCTTATGACACACACGCACATGCATGCACAAGTGCAGATTCTATTCCTGTCATTCTCATACTCCTGTAGGGTGACAATTCAATACAATCAATGAGAGTTCAGTCGCAGGACCAATGGCTTAAAGTACTCTTCGAGGCATATGGGTCGCCAACTTCCCAACTCTGGGTGGTTATTAAAAAATTTAAACCCAGAACTTCTAGATCTAGAGCCCAAGGTACATTACTTACCTATAAGTCCTTCATAAGTAAGTTGAGTACACATAATACTAGTGAAGTCTATAGCTCGGTCCAATAACAGAAGTTGGTCGATACAGGATGTAGTAGCACCCCGTGGTCCTAGACCATGCTCTTCTTTGTTTAACCGACAGAGAAGATCCCACACCTGTAAGATATCACATATGCACTAATGTATCTAACTGAATGGCCCTGTGTTAAACTAGGGTAAGGAAGGGTTCTGGTATCTAAGGTACATGTCACCTATGCCTTGTTGTGTCTCCCCAAGTATACACAAATGATAAGCAAATGAACAAAACTAAAATTAAATCTACATACAAAACATCAGAATGACGCCTGGTCTCCAGGAACTTGGCAGCAAATTTGCAAATGCATAGTGTACTAAGCTAAGGAATTTTGTTAGTTGAAGCAGTTGGAAAATATGACCCAGTGTCCAAATTACATGTTTCTTACTTTAAGTAAATAGATAAAGTATTATTCTGTGTAGAAAGCATGACTAATAAAGCAAGCAACTTGGTATATGAAGGTTAACAGACCTGTTTAGCTACTTGTCCCTTTCCATACACCCGAGGTATTATTCCATACAGTTGTTGTATTGAACGTAGAGCTTGTGCTGCATTGTACAAGCAAGTTGGGTCTCCTTCCAAATAATTTTCTCTGGTAAACATCAATTTTTTTCATATAGCAATATTTATTTGAAGTAAATAGTTAAACAACTCAGAAGGCATAAGATTGTAATACTTTATTTTTTTAAAGGTGACTTACCTGAAATCATTTTGTAGTTCTAATGACATAACATCACTGTCAAATGGAAAAATATCACATTTAAATTCTTGTAGAACAAGATTAGATAGAACACCTCTGTTCTTTAGATGTTTCTCACAAAGTTCACTCTTACGAGGCACAAAAAATAGGTGGAATTCCACTGGAGAACTTTGCTTAGACCTGTTTCAACATATAAAATATATTCTTAATATACTTTAAAAGAATGCACTTCTCATAGCACTTTTCTACATGAGTAAATGAGTATTAATCATGATTAAAACCAATATATATATATTAAGATAATTTATTACATGATTTGAAAATCAAAATGGTATTTTAAGTAATTTAAATTACAACATAGAAAATGTTTTAAATACCTCAATGAAAGAATATAATCAGCTACAAGATCCATCATGGCTAATTTTGGTCTGGCAATAAATATAATATGTTTAACAGATATTGTAGGCAAGCTCCCTGGTCTGAGGGGGAACATATCAGCTACTTCATGTTCCATAAGTAAAGAGTATTGAGCCACAAGTCCTACTGGTCCTGCCAGCCATTCATCCCAGATTGTTACCTATAATTTTAAATTAATAATTTTATTGTCATCTTTACACTTCCAGATAAAATGGAATAAGTTGATTTTATTCTCTTATTGAGATTGAAATTGTTTAAAAGTTATAATATAAATAAGTCGGCACAAGTTTAGAATATGGGACATTACCCCTGGCGGAGTGGGTGGTATTTCTGGATAAGGGACGTGATAGGGCGTCGAAAAGTTAAATAAAAAATTTTCCGAAAACGTACGAGTAAAAAGTTATTGAGACTTAAAGTTACGACATTTCCATACATTTTCATATATTTCTTTTCCACCATTCGGAGTGGGTGGTATTTTTAGATAGGGGAGGTGACAGAGAGTCAAAATATATTAAAAATATTTGGAGGAAACGTACGAGTAAAAAGTTATACCTAAATAAGTGATTACAACAGATAAACATACCTTTAACGAATAGTACGCATCCTTTTTTATGTACAAGACATATTTTCACAACAATTAATGCTTTATTGTATTTTTTGCTTTTTCTGTTGGTAATATTAATAAATAAATAAATAAAAAGAAAAATATTATTTTCGTTTCATAAATACATTTATGATTTTTTATCTGATTTATGTAAAATATATTGTTTTACAATTGTACATTTAGTAAAAAAAAACATTTTTTATCTGTAAATATTTTTAATTATTTATTTATTATTCGTCATATCTGGGTTAGGTTAGGTTAGAACATTTAAGATTATATATTTATTATTCGTCATATCTGGGTTAGGTTAGGTTAGAACATTTAAGATTATTTATTTATTATTCCTCATATCTGGGTTAGGTTAGGTTAGAACATTTAAGATTATTTATTTATTATTCGGTTAGAACAGTTGCCACAACGCACGAGCCGAGCGAGCGAAGCGAGCGTGCCGCGGTAGCGGCCGGCGAGTGCCATAAATGACTAGAAAACTAGAAAATTCGAATTTCACGCAAGTACAAATAAAGACAATCATCTGGAGATCATTTTGACAATTGAAAGTGACGTTTTGACTCCAAGTGTCTAAATGGTAGTAATGTCAAAATAATGTATGGAGATGTTGTAACTTTAAGTCTCAATAACTTTTTACTCGTACGTTTTCGGAAAAATAACTTTTCGACGCCCTATCACGTCCCCTATCCAGAATAAGTCACTACTATGTCACGAATGCATACTTTAGTGTTCTTAATAGTTATTTTATAAATTATAGCATTAAATATGATTTTTAAGTCTGTAGAAAAATTTAATTGACTCACTTTAGGTCCTTCGCATTGTTGAAGTAAGTTTAATAATTCTTTTCTCATCGTTTCCTGTAAAATAGCAACATTCAATCTACCACCTGATAGATGGGTGCTCATTTTTGTATCCTTCATTTTGTTTTAAGTATTTACTTAAAGTGGTTTGCAAAAAGTATAATAATATTATCACTACATTTGTTTTGCAAATACAACAAAGACAAACATGAAACGAGTACTTAAAAATATTTGACTCGATGACTTGACAGTTGACAGTTAAATGACTATACAGTTTATAAATCAATAAGTATGGACGGTAGAGGTAAGGAGAACTTCTTCTATCTCATATGGGAGACAAGTTGAAAAAAAGTTCGCCTGTAAGTAACGGTTCAAAAACTGACTAGAAAGGTACTAGCGTAGCAAAAGGGTATGATATGAATTTAGCAGTTATAAACGGAGTGAAGCGTGCTAAGTTAAAAAATGTAATATTTTAATAGTTATTGAAATTATTTACGTAGTTGGTTCAAAATAATTTAGTAAATATAACTGAAAAAAACGTGGTGATATAAACGTAGAGAGCTATTTTTTGAGATTGAGATTTTTTGAGAACTTTCAATAATACTTTTGGCGCTTTCTCCTAAATGTACCCGCTTGTTACTGTGGCGCTACCTTAATGGGAAAGAATTTTGGCTTTTTCTACCGCCAGATGTCACGATCACTATAATCCTCAGTATATAGCGCAGTAAAGCTCTATAGCATGGAATGTTTTTTTCTTTAATTTTCTTTAAAATTTAACTAAAATGATAAATTGTGCAATGCCAGTATACAAAGAAAATGGATATCATTTGTTCCTAAAAGACAAAAACTGAAGAAATTTTGGGCTAAAGAAATAAGACGACCAAAATTGGCAAAATCGTCATATTCAAAGCTATGAGGATATCATTTTAAAGAAAGTAATTTTAAAACACCTAAATCGTCTACAGATTATTATTTTTTTATTTTTTTACATATTAATTACAGAGTTTCATACAAACTTTCATACCCCATTTAACACCCTATGCTAAAAAATCATGCTAAAACATCTATCTATTTGATTGTATTGGAGCATTAATACCAATTTTCAAGTAATTCTGATCATAAATATAATTCTTTGCACATATAATCTTTATTACCCTCTTTTATCCCTTTAAGGAATGAATTTCGAATAAAATCAAATAAAAATATTTCTTTCTAATTTTATATCGTCAAGCTAAATCTGAGTATTTCACATTAAGAATGACAGAGTTTCATACAATCTTTAATCGCCTATTTTATCCACTTAGGTGATGAATTTCGAAAAATCTTATATACAGACATCATATGGATACAGACATCATAGAAGGAATGCGTCTGTCAAATTTCACGTTTCTACGACCAGCGGTTTAGGTTGTGTTGATCCATCACTTAGCCAGGACCACCACAGGATGCACCTCTCCACAATTCTTCCTTCTGCTGGTCTTACTTTTAGGTACAATACATTGCACAGGTAAGATGCGAATATAATAGAACGAAAAAACTAGGTACAAAAGAGATATGATAATAAATTTCTTAATCTCAGACTAAATGTAAATAGATCATGCGTGTAGCGCCCTCCTTTCAAGAAATCTTCTCCATTTAACGCATTTCGACGGACGCTTTTTCATCACAGACATAGTTCTCCTTACCTCTACCCACTATATAAGACATGACCCATGGGTATAAAAATGAGAATAACTAGTGAACACTGCAAAATCTTACAGATATGTATACTAAAATATTTCTTTGTGTATGAAGTATTAATATATGATGTCGACATTCATATTCTTTTGAGACCGTTTCAAATTCATTTATTTAAGACAAACATATTATTTCACATGTATAATATTTACTAACATTATAAATTTGAAAGTTTAGATGGTCGTTTGGATGTTTGTTACTCAATCACGCTAGAACGGCTGAATTGATCTGGATGAAATTTAGCACAGACATAAATTATAGTTTGGAATAGCACATAACCCGGAAAAATATACAGTTCCCCTGGGATAGATTTAATTTTGTTTGTATAGTTAAAAATAAATGTCAAATATTAATAAAAAGTAGGATGAGGCTGTGTCGGGCTACACGCTCGTTGGTTTTAAGTTTAACGTGAAACGTCTATGTCAGCCATCAACTTCACTTAAATATAGTATTAAAGATTGGAATGAATAGAAGGTTGACTTCGTTCTAATTATTTTTATTCTATATTCACACTGAATAGGTAGTACATGGTATAAACTTTTCCGATTAATATTTGACAACGATTTTGTTAAGTAGGTACTTGTTGGTCTCCCCCCCAACGTGCGTTCACCTTGTCGTGGTGGGGGGGCTCAGTAGTGCCCGGCAACCCAACCGGGCGCGAAGCCAAGAAACGCACAGGGAGGTGGCCCACTTCGGTGGGCGGCGGGAGGTGGTCCTCTTTGGAGGGCAGTGTACCATGCGGGTTGCTCCTGGTACTTCTCTGATAGCAGAGTGGACTGTGGAGCAACCCCGTGGTTGTTGTGGTCTGCTTCGGCAGACCTGCCGTCGGGGCGACGTAGTTGAATGCGTAAGTGATCCTGCGACGCCCCATTAAGACGGGGGAAGGTTTTGTTGGGTTTTAGTGGGTAGTACTGGCTTTGCCGGTGAGTTCCACACCTCGTGCGTAAATGAATTTCCCAACGTTAAATAAAAAAAAGGTACTTGTTGGTCTGTGGTATGAGAAATAAAAAACTTAAGGATTCCATTATTAAGCGTGCCTTGGCAAATTTATATATACCTCACACCTCACGAAATATCAGATAATTTAAAAACATGAATAAAAATATGGAGAAATACGGCGTTTGCTATTTCAAGGAATGTCTTAAAAGAGAATAAACGTTTTCATATCCTAATATTTATTTGTTATTATTTTTGACATAAATTAAAAATATATTTTGTCGATGGTAGGATCTTCGCAAATTAAAATTTTATTTACATAACATTTTAAGATAAAATATTTTTTTTAAAAAACACATTTTATTTTTACTCTTAAAAGCAAAAATTTTAAATATTTTAATTATTTGGTTATGTGGTTGGAAAAATAATGTTATCTATGTTATAATTATAATAAATATATTATTGACATTTGTACCTAAAATGTATATAAAAAAGAGATTCAACTACATTCTACAAAACACTAGACTGATGGAACTTTTAATAAGTCCGAGGTAACCTGGATCTGAGTTGCCGCGGAAAGCGCGTTGTTTTAATTAAGTAGGTATGTTTTGTAGAGACATAACAAGAGGCCTATGTTGTATATTAAAGAAAAGTAAGTAAGGATAAGTCTGAGATTGCGTCTTCCATATAATTTCTGTTTCATAAATTAAATTTAATCCTATGTTTTCTCTCGAAAGAATACTTCATTTTACCTAAGATTAGGATGAAATAATATTGTATAATTTATGTATTTTTATAGAATAAACTACGTAGTACAAATCTTTGTTATAAAACTCATTTATTTACTGACAGACTTGGCCAGCCAAACTAAACTAAACTAAACTATCGGGCCTACAGGGCTGAAATTTTGCACAAAATCCAGCCATGTGACGTTGAAGGACGTTGGAGGTGTCTATGTGGTTTGCTTTTGCATAGCAGTGGACTGTAAGAGCAGCCCTTTGTTTGTCGTGGATGGCGAAAAACAAAGTCTTACAAAGTATTGAAGTAAAATTATCCCAGATTTCCATGCTGGACTAGCCATCAGAAAGCTTGGTTGGGGTTAACTAGCTTTATCGGCTGGGAAGAGGGCGGCGTTGAGACGGCCGATTTCGATGAGTTTTAGTGGCTAGTACGCGTTACAAGAGAGCTGGTCAGTCACTACTATATAGTCAACTGTATGTACTGTAATGTATGCAGGTGGGTGTGTAAAAATCTATTTCCCAACTTTAAATTTCAATTTCGCATTCTTTTCGATTTCTTTGCTTAATGACTACAGCGTGCAAAGTAACAAACAGGTGCACTGACTCACAAACATCGGTATTTATATATAATATTAGTGACATTTCTTATTATTATAAAATATTGTTTTTACTACTTCTTACTTTAATATTATACTACCGACCCGCCCTCACTTCGCTCAGGCCTACGAAATGAATGACTCGTATTACAGAATTACAGAAATAAATAAATGAATGTTTATCAGGAAAAAAAAAATTGCCATAAGCACTCAAAAATAAAGTCGCTTCCTAATAATGAAAAGATTTTCACAATTGAATTAATAGTTTTGGAGAATATATCCTATATTCGAACTTAAGAATATCTGTTTATTTATTACAGAAAAACAATTTAAAAATAAATATTATATGACATATTATATTAGGTAATCTTATTCATCATGTAATATTATACAAATAATAATGATTATTAAAGACAACGACATTCATTTGAGGAAGAACAAATTTTATTATCCCTTACGCTCGATCTGAGGTTTGTGTTTGAAATCACATTGCTTACAATAAAGCCAATCAGCCATTTTCCGTGGAGATACGTGCCGAAATTTCAGACTAGGTTGTATGTATTCACTCATAGATAGATATACTCGTACTTCAGGACCTTATCACTTGCGTACCGCTTGTAGCCGACTGCGCGCGGCGCGACATCGATTTTTCCACTAAACAAGCCATTTTCAACCATCAGTGAGATTGTAAACACGTTCTGTACCCGTAACGTTCCTGAATAATTATACTGAAAAAAGTGAGATATGTGAATACGTATAAATAATGCTCTACGCTCTATCGGCTAACATTTGTGATGGCCGCGCAAAATAAAGGTGTGTATTTGTAGCAAACAGGTATTAACAAACATTTATAATTAATTACTCATTTTGTTAGATAATTTGGCACACATTTTTTTTTGCAATGTAAATATTATGATAATACAGCACGGTGGCGCTTTGTAGGCAAGTCTAATTGCTGGAGTGTAACATCGTTTTGACATAAAGATAACAACGAGTGTGGGCGAAGAACGGCCATGTGATGTTGAATATATTTTTATGCCATTAGAGATAAAAGTTTAGCTTTTGTTAGACTTCGTTATTTACAAGGTTAGGTACTTTTAATAATGTATACAATAATTTTAATAATTGAGTAACTAAGCATAAAAATTAAGATAAATGAAAGCTGTATTATATGAAGATAAGAGCGAGTATTTTATTTTCTTTCAATTATCACTTTCATAGAGATTATATGCAGACTTACGTTACGTACGTATTTACGTTAGCGAATTCGCTAACGTAATGATGTTAACAGTACTAAGGGTAGTACCTAAATGTATTAGAAAAGATGACGTAGCCGATGTGATTAAAGAATATAAGACATAATTCAGATATATACGTGCTATTAGTTTGGTCGAAGAGTAAGATTAATATCCTAAGATAAATTTAGGGGTTAGAAATTTGTAGAGTCGCCTAAGAGATTAATCTTGGTCCAACTTCAAGCTTCGGAATATAAATCGAAGCCTGAAGTAATGATTTCTTGGATCGTACTTTTTCACTCCGTAAATTTGCTGAGTACATTCTTTTTTATATAAATAAAGCTAGTAAATATTAGTATGTAACACTTTTATTAAATGCACATAATTTATATGGAGTTTATTTTAAAAAAATTAAATTCGATAATAATAAAATGTGTCAAGGAATATATAAAGATAATATAGACACTAAATAACACTGTGAATAAAGAATTTGCTTTGAAATAAGGAAAAAATTCTTAAAACAATATAATGTTTTTGTGAAAACTTGAGCCCGCACTTGGATGACTTCTTACGGCGATCGACGGGAATTGCTTTAGCGCCATTATGGAAAAGTTTTAATAAGGTCCTATTGAGATTCCCATTTTAATTGACACTCAGACATACCTACCTATAAGTAAATTATCCCGCGCATTTCTCGGATGGATATATATATATATATATATATATATATATATATATATATATATATATATATATATATATATATATATATATATATATATATATATATATATATATTCTCTCTCTTTTATTATATTGTCTAGTCACAATATTATATTGATATTGATTAGGTAGATATATAAGATACCTTGGGAATTTTAAAGTTATCTATAGTTTTGAACAATAAACAGTATTTAAAAAAGTAGATATATCTTTTCATAGTCATTTCCGATGCAAGAAGATAATGGTAATTCTGATAACCTCATATCATCGCGTGTTATGTGTTTTATTAAAATTTAAATTCATTAATTATAATTAAATATTACTATGTTTGTGTAAAACTCAATTCGTGTGATTTGAATCGAATTCCTATAATTATTTAATTATAATAGAATATAGATAACTGATTTTACATACGGTGAAGGAAAACATCTTGAGGAAACCTGAATGTCTGAGAGAACAGTAAATTTTCGAAACACATGTGTATGTGTAGTCCACCCGCTCTTGGTCAGCGTAGTGGACTGTGGCCTGATCCCCCTCGTATTGAAGGGAGGTTCGTGCCCAGCAGAGGGACATTAAAAAGGGCTGAATACAACTGATTTTTGAGAAATTATTGAATATCTCCCATTTGGTTTAAGTATCTACCAATAAATCTTAAGGATCTTCTTTTACTCTGCATGCTAAGCGAATATATTTTCTCTCTTATTTTTATGCTAACAAGAAGGTCAGTCTAGTTCTATGCATACACGTGAAATGATAAGAGTCTTACGCACGTTTTATAGCATATTTAGGTACATTTGGCCTTTGTCATAGATTATAAAAGTAGCATATTGAAAAAAAAGTATACATTTTCATGAATAATCAAAATGAACTGAATGAATTTAATAAAATTAAAGCTGGATATAATAATTATATAAATATAATTGTTTATTAATGAATAATAGAAAATAGTAAATTAATTAATGATAATATGTGCGCCGTGCCTAGACATTTGCAAGAAGCTAACGCTAACCTGTTTTATGGTGTGTCAGACGATAAGAAACTAAAGGCACCTTTACGGACTAGGAAACCACGAAAAAGGAAACATTTTATACTTTACACGGAACTTAGAAAGTTTTATGATAAGGTTTTAATACATAAGCATAATATATCGCTTTCTATCTTAAAACTCTTCGAATTTAAGTTCAAAACTATTTTGAATAATCTTTCTTTTAAATTCTTTTAGAGATATTTATCTGTTTTAAGAATTTTGCAAGGATTAAACACCGGCCAATGAAAAAATTGATAGGTTACATAATTATCTATTAGTACTGACTACTTCATTTCTCGATAATAGGCCTATAGTTTAATTTACAGTCTACTTTGTAAGAGCTTTTAACGCTCTCTCTCTCTGAGTCTACTCTAGTCTAGTCTCATAGATATCTATAAAAAACAGATAATTGTAAGATCTACACATGCCTAAAACACGTGGATCGTGGACACGACCGAGATCAGTCAGTTGTAGTTGCGTGGAGCTCCGTATTCTGCGATGAACATAAGGAAATTTTTACCTATTTCATTAAAATCTATTGAGTGTGAAATTTTAAAGTGATAATTATAAATTTACTTGCTTGGTTACTGTGCGTTTAATCTTAAACGCATCTTTTCATTTATGAAATAACATGCATCGTTTCAGCTTTTTTTAAATGCTACATAAACTACCATCATAGTCTTAATGTTATTAATGATAAATTAAAAATTTAAAAAACCTCCGACCATTTTGGACCGATTTTCATCAAATATAGCTAAGAACACTCCCAACTAATTCACCTTTCAAACAAACAAAACGAAATCAAAATCGGTTCATCCGTTCGGGAGAGACACAGACACGTCAAACTTATAACACCCCGTCGTGTTTGCGTCGGGGATTAAAAACTGCAAAATGATTTTTTTTTGAAAATAAGTTTTTATTTAAAACTAATAAACAATATATATATATATATATATATATATATATATATATATATATATATATATATATATATATATATAAAAGTTAACAATGTATAGTCTAAGTTCGAGCTTAATCAGACTTTTATTACTATAGAAGTACCTAAAATTTGAATGAAATTAACCTTATTAATTGGCTTAGTACCTACATAATAATCTAGTTTTAGCTCCCAGTTCTATAAAGCATATTGTTTTGATGACTATTTAGAAAAAAACACGCGGGCGGAGTTGATGGTTCTAGCTAGTTTATTAATAAAAAATGTTTATTGAATAGGTATTATGTTTCACTCTTGTCATAAAATAAGAAAATTTGTTCTCTAAGAAACCTTTCAATAGCTGTCAATTTGCATGTTACCTACTTCACTTATATTCCTACGTCTCCACTTGCATTCTAATAATGCGGAGGTGGTATTCAATGGCTGGCTTGTTATATAATGTAATTTAACATCTTGTATTTTATTGTGTAGTGGAAAGTGGGTCGGAAGATATGCCGGCGGCCACGGATCCCAGTGCTGAGCAAAAGGAACGTTTGATAGCTGCCGTGAAGAAAGAAGTTAAGCAGTTAATGGAAGAGGTTAGTCTTCTTTTATTTACACTCACCCCCTTAAGTAATGATTTCAGACATAAAAAGTATCCTACGTCTTAGGTCTCAAACTATCTGCTTACCAAATTTTATCTAAATCAGTTCAGTAGTTTCGGAGCCTCTTCGGTACAAACAAACGAATCTTTCATCATTATAATTATAGTACAGACTTGACTTTTTTGATACTTTTTAAGTAGCTTAACACTAGACCCTTCTGATTATTATTTCTTTATAATTAAGCATATATAGTGGTTTTAAATGCTGTACCAAACCATGCCCATACCGCGAACCGCTACACTAAGAGCCTGTAATTTTTGAAGCTTGTAATGACGTATGTAGGTAAGAAAGGATTTTTGAACAACAACATTTTTTCCTGCCAAATTTAGTTAGGATTGATATATTTCATTCCCTGCGGCAAAACATACATAACAACCTTTTAAGAGACAAAACTAAAATGATAAATAAATAAGACCCTTGTTGAAGTCGGGTCACTCTCCTTGTATTCACATTCTAGATTTAAAATACGCAAATGTAAATAATATGATAGAAGAAATATGTGTACTGAATACGTTACTTGTATCCAGTGTTTACTGAATTTAATCTTAATAAATGTGCTTGTTTAAGATTTTCAGCTAATGTTTGTAAGCAACATAACCTAAATTGTTTGATTGCTAGATCAATGAGATGGTCTCATTCGGATGACGTAACTAGGTCAAAGCTAATACGTTTTTCTTTTATTGTGTTTATTTACTTAGACCATATTATATTACTTTAGAAAATAACTACTAGAGACCCAATCTCGCTTCGCTCTGGTGCGCCCCTAGATTCCCTTCGCATTTATAATATTAAAGAAGTCTCAGAAGAGACGATTTTTTCAAGCTTAATACAAAAATATTTATGTTGATGATATCATCATATCGGTAACTTATTTTCGCACAAGATTCTTAAATCATAGCTGACCTAGATAATCCCTTTTTGTATGAAAATTTGTATGAAAATCCGTACAGTAAGTAGTTCCTGATATATGACCGAATAAAAAAAATTATGCGCGGCGAGGGACTTTAACTTATAATACGATATAGAGCTGTAGAATTACTATTAAATGAATTCAGCCCTTTTCCCGCTGTTCAGCACGGGCCTCCTTCAATACGCGTTCAAATCCCGGGTCTCGAACCTCTGTTCTTCTTATTTGCGAATCATTTTCAACATGATGACAATTTGCCTTACGGGGAAGGAAAACGTCATGAGGAAACCTGCGTTTATGTAAAAATCTAGCAAGTTTTCGAAAAATATGTAAAGTTCGTCAACCCACTTGTCTTCTTGACCAAATCCCACGTCGTATAATGAAGGGTGAATATATTTCTATTTACAAAAACATTAAACCAAACGGCAATGTAAGTAAGGTTTCAATCAACATGCTGTCATACTCGTAATAATTGTTGTTCATGATTGTTATAAGACAGAGTAGTTTTTTAATTTACACTCGATGTTCTGAAAATGAGAGTAAAGATTAACTATAAAGTACTGTAACGATTTTACTAGGCGTATTTGCGTAACGAAAGACACGACTTCGAAAATAGTTTTACTTTTTAGTGCCTGGACGTTGGTTTTTGTTTAAGTTTTTATTTCGCGGATTTTTTTGTTCCCGACGTTTCGAATTTACAGCAAACATGGTTAGAGGATAAGTCTAAAATCTTAAAGTACCTGTTAAAAAATTATAGTTTTATCTATTTTTCATAGAATTTGAAAAAGAGGAGGTACTCATATTATGGGTCGTAAATTTTGCATATAGGCCGTATATTATTGTGTTACGCGATATCTTAGTAATTTATGAATCGATTATTATAACTATTTTTTAAATAAAAAGGTTGTATATACCGCAAGAGTGGATATTTATAAATTAAATGAAAATCAAAAATAAATTATAAAAATGAAAGTTACTGTGAGAAGGGGAAAAAATATTTTTTTTATTAACCTAATCATTTACTAAGTACTGAACTATAGTTTCTTGGCAAAATATAAATGCCGCATAAAAGGAGTTTAGAGTACTGTGTTGGTTCAAATAAAAGTCGTTGCAATCAAAGTAGTATTTCAAATTAACAATAATCACTTTGTACATAGTTACACAGCATTTCACTACACAACCATATAGCAAGCAATTCACTACGCCATATACCACTTCACTATTACCACGTATAGACAATACGGAACGCAAGACAGTTTCTACTAGTGTTCACTGTGCGACCGACCAAGCGTAACTCAGCCGAGCCCGGTCGAGTGTCACGACGTAGACTCTGTCGAGCCCAAAGAGGTGGCGCTCGCGTTCCGATTAGTTGTGATTATGACTCGTCTCCGACACGGCCATCCTGCATGCACACGCCCTCGTGTGTTAGCCCGTAGCCGCGTGTTAGTTAGCCTGCAACCAAATAATCAACGAAAATACTTGCTCGACTCGGTCAATCCTGACCAGATAAAACTTAACTTTGAATCTAAATCATCTTTATTCTAATGAAAAGCTTTAACGCTAACACCTTTGTTTTTTTTTTAACTCCAAGTCACTATTTATCTCTAATCTAACTAATAACATCAGTCATCCAGAGCCATGTACCAACATCATTCAACACTTTAGCAATCAAAACTTATTTTCAAATTTACTAGCACCTCTGTAAACCACTCTTAGGCCACGGCTTTACAAGCCAACCAGCAATCACAATTGCTCCACAATCCAGGTGCATCCACTACGGGATCACCGCGTGTATCATCCTCTTGATGACTACACACTATGGTCATAACAGACCCCGACCTCCGCCAGAACTAAACGCACATCACACACCCACGGTCTATATAGTTTGAACTTCCTCAAAAGACCGACTTTTACCAGGCTATGACTACGTAATAGTTACTAGTACGGTCGACACTACTACGGCCGTCAGAATGCTTACATCGGTTTCCATCGACTTCATTAAAACATTTGCTTGGCATGATGATCATTATTTACATCAACCTCTATTGGTACATGACCTACTAGAATTTTTGTGTAAAGAATTTATAGCCGTCATGTTAATAGGAAACCTTCCAATATCTCATGTTCTATCATGATACTAGTTTGTAACGAATAATAAGGCAAACATAAAATTTCAAAAGATTTCAAGAGAATGACCGTCAATCGTTACAAAAGAAATTTTACTCTGTGCAGAATATTCTGTTTTGATCAATACTAGAAATTGCAAGGACAAAATCGTTAACTACACAATTTGTCTTACTAACGAATATTCAGCACCATGATCATAACAAAAGCAATACAGATTACCTCTATGCCATTGAGCATTCGAAGATGGTTGTACAACACATACATCCACGCGTCGTTCCGTTCGTGTTGCACCCATATTGCTGCCGTCCACTTGACTGGCACTACTTATGCACCGGAGAGTGATGTGACCAGGTTTGCCACATTTGAAGCACACCAGAGACTTCACTGCAGGCTGCAATGCCGTTGCTGTCATCGAAGGTCGTTCCACACTGTCATTTACCTTGCTTCTACACTCTGACCGCTTAAGACTCACTTTTTTTGCGTTTCAAATGTGAGAATGCGTGCAATCTCTGCTGCAGTCGATCTCGCGAAGCAATTATCGTTACTACGATAATTGCTTCGCGAGAAGGCCAATCGTTGTAATTTCGAATTAAACTGATATAAGTGAGCAAGGATAGTCGCAATTGCTATCTGATTCTTGCTAGCGTCTTTCCAACGATTAGTCAGTGACGTCATCAGGCGATTTGCGTACGTAACGAGTTTCTTTTTTCATTTGGTTTGTCACTGTTAAAATTAATTAGCGTACCAGCCAATGTCTCGGTGGAAATAAATCTCGCCTTGAAAATCACCTTGAACTCTTCCTATGTTATTCCCTGGTATACAAATTGTGATAGCCACGTCGACCCTTATCGTTTTAATTCCTTACTGACTTAAACCAAGCTGGCCGCCGTATGGAGGGTATTTGGCAAAACACAAATCTGCAGTCGCAAACAAAGATCTTGCGTCCGTATCCATATTGTCAGGGTCAAACTCGTGTAACCTGACGTTCTTCTTCATCCGAGGCATTTGCATGGCCTCGATAAGAGATCACATACTGACATTTTGTTGCTCAAACATTGCACGTCATTGTTCACTCAGAGTTAGTTCTTTTTGCAATTGAACCAACACTGATCCCACTTCTGATATCGAAGCAGCATTAATTTTCTCTATTGTTTTCCATTATTTTATCATGACTTATACAGTGGGCGTTATATGGGAAGTGTTGGTTCAAATAAAATTCGTTGCAATCAAAGTAGTATTTCAAATTAACAATAATCACTTTGTACATAGTTACACAGCATTTCACTACACAACCATATAGCAAGCACTTCACTACACAGCCATATACCACTTCACTATTACCACGTACAGACAATACGGAACGCAAGACAGTTTCTACTAGTGTTCACTGTGCGACCGACCAAGCGTAACTCAGCCGAGCCCGGTCGAGTGTCACGACGTAGACTCTGTCGAGCCCAAAGAGGTGGCGCTCGCGTTCCGATTAGTTGTGATTATGACTCGTCTCCGACATATATGTATAATTGTGTTGCATACAAAATACTTTTAAATGAGGTTAATTAAGTTAATTCGTTGATTTTCTTAGATGATTTTATATTGCTATATATAATATGTATGTACGATTGTATGGTGCCCTATAAAAATATCTTAAAAAGTAAATTAAGAGTTAATAAATCTTGAAAAATAAATGAATAATATGAGTAATCTTGTTTCGTTATTATGATTGTTTCTTCAACAAATAAAGATAAATGCTTTGTTTATTGTCAAACTTTATTGACAATATAAATAAAAATAATAACATAGATTATGATTCATAGGTACTGGTGATAGTAATTAACACTGATTACATTTATTTAATAGAATTTACTGCTTATTTTTGTACATTAAACAAACAATATTATATAGCTAAAGACATTGTTTTTTGTTTGTCTGAACGCGCTAATCTCCGGAGCTACCAGTTAGATTTAACATAAAATCTGCATTTTATAGCATTTATTAATGAAGGTTATCTAATATTATGCATCAACCCATAGATAAAAGCTAGTATTGATTATGCATAAACTGCATAATCAAGAGCCATTATTAAAAGAATGCTGTAACATTGTAACAGGCTGTAACACGAAAATTCGTTCACGAAGAGAGTGGTGGGGTGACTGCCCTTTGCGGCGCAGTGGAAGCGTGTCTCGGTCAAGGGCTAAGACGGCGCGCTCTTGGTCTTTTCAAGACCAGCTCAACTACAGCTCTGTTACATAAGATTGCTAAGGTAAGTTTGATTTAATTAATGCTATTAAAATGGTGAGAATCAAAAAAAATGCCAAATAGGCAAAACAAATCTTTATAAAGTGTACATTAAACACTGTATATTACGCTCAATATACGATATCTTAAGACGTATACGGCAATTTATTTTACAAAACGTAGAAACACTGTATGTATGTTGTTGTTAGTTGTGTAATGTATATGTATTAGGTAGGTATGTTTAAAATTTTTTTGTTTGAGAACTGCTCTACTTCGCTTTGTCAATCTTATCCATGTATGTAATTAAAATATGTTATAGATTTTAAACAAAAGTATAAGCTGAAGTAAATATTTCATTATTCTAAATAAGTTATTGAACACAAACATTTAAAATAGTTGAGAGACCATTTGGGAGTTTATATAAAAATTCAAATAATTATATGAAAACAACAGAAGCTCTGTGTAAGGTTTGACTGTTAGTCTGCACTGATCGAAAATCGGAGTGAGAATGAATGTAATGTAACATTCATATATCTTCTGCCGTCATCGAGTCGGTTCTATTGCATTTACCCCCACTTCGTTGCAAAACAATATAGTGTCCATAGACAACTTATAATAAATGAACTGTTTATCTATACATATAATAAAACTGTAGAGCTCAAATGTCTGTACATAGAAAAAAAATGCTAAAAACCGAGTCAGGGGTCAAATCTAAAAGTTTCGAACTGTTTATTTTGTAACTTACTTCCATCCATACTTACCGTTAAAACGCACCTAGGGATGTACCCGGGCGAAGCGAGGGTGAGTCGTTAATGCCCAGTTATAAAATATAAAGAATAATTAATAACCTGACATAATATATTGAAGCTCTACCATAAATTTTAATAGACATAAATATATTATTTTCACATAAAACTCGAGTTACCATTAGGATATTCACATTTTATATCATATTTATTTTGTATCTCTTTGTACGAACATGCATGTTAGTAAAAAGATAAAAATACTTTATGCTTTAAATATGAACGTCAAAGCTTTAATAAAAGAATTCATTTTATTGCATAAAACAAAAGTTCTCTCGTTCCAGCGTTTAAATTCACTTTAAGTTCTTTAATACGATTATGTTCAGAGTTACACGAGTACCTACTAACAAAATTTATAATAATTTTTATAAGTAAATGTAATGTACTATTTAAGAGTCTCCTTTATTTAAATATGAATATTTTAAATATTACCTGCTGCTGAAACTACTGTCTGAAGATTGATACTTATGCATAAGTAAAGCAGACAAGTGAAGCGAGTACCTAATTTGTGTCGAATATATCGTATTAAAAGGGGTATCCTCGGACGCGGTGATTAAGTATTCGATTTTCGAGTCAAAACTCTCTAAAATACGGGTACCCAGGTTCATTTTTTTTTCATGTTTATTCGAATTAAAAAAATCGTACAAGAAATTGTCCAAATTCCGGAAAAAGTGGTAATCTGTTGGAGCAATGTCCGGGGAGCATGGTGGATGTCGGAGACATTTCAAACGCAGCTCCTCTAATTAAGCGACTGTCTGTTGTGCAGTGTGTGGTCTAGCGTTGTTCTGTAGAAGCAGTGGGTTAGAGCAATTGACCAGTCTCGGTTGTTTAACGGCTAGCTTGTCTATCATGGTTTTCAATTATTGACAGTACAGATATGTCGTAATGGTCTGGCCAGATCTTAGGAAGCTGTAGTGGAGAACACCAGCACTGGCCCACCAGACATTTACCAGTACCTTTTTCTGAGTCAAGTTTCAACAACTTGGGGCAGGATTTGGTCGATCATCCTGGGTTTAACCATTATGATGAGCATCTCCGATTATCATACAGGACCCATTTTTCATCACAAGTAATGATATGGTTCAAAATCCGCCCGTTATTGTGATGGTTGAGTAAGTAACACAGCACTCGACGACGGTGTTTGTTGGTGTGCTTTACTCATGCAGTACCCATTTTTCTGTACTGGACACTTATTATTTTACATAATAATAACAATATATTCTCTTATTATTATTTTACATAATAATAACAATATATTCTCGCGCTTTTTACTTACTAAAAAGGGTTACTATGTGCGCAAAAAACTTATCCCTATAATCAATATGATAATAAAAATAAAAAATAGACATACAATTATTGTAAAACGTATTCAAATATGTTTATTTTATTGTTTAAAAAAGAGTGTAACAAATGATATGTACCCGACGCGACGTAAAGGGTTTTGCCGGGATAAACTAAGTTTACCCTGAATATACGTCTGAAGGTTTCGGCTCCAAAGCTTAGTGAAACGAACGAACGATAATGTATTAAGTGGAATGCGTCGTCAGTTACAGTGTATGCATAATGTTGAGAAATAAAGCAAATACTAGTCATACTATGTATATATATGTACATAATACAGATTACCTGTAAACTAAATAATATTATTTATAAATACGTATCAGTAATAATGGGCTTGTTAGGAAGATAGATTAGAAGATATTTTCATGCTTGCATGCCGAAATAGTTCTTTCAAGAAAAGTTGCAATGTATCGCTGTTGTTCAACCATTGATAATATAGTATTATGAAAAAATACGTGATAATATATTTAACATACACATATTAAGAAACAATGACAAAATATTATACAAATAAAATTATTGGCATTTCTCGAGGAGTATTCCTATTCTACAACAAAAAAGCAAAATCACCTCCTCCTTTGCTAATATTATCGCGACGTATTTTCGGTATTTTCACTAAGCAGGGCTGGTACGTGTATTTTAGAATACAATCAAGATCACAAGTCTTTTGATGTTTGCAAATATTTAGTTACGTGAACGTAAATTTCTAATCATTGTTCTATTTCCACAGAATTTGTATTGATAAGTAGCATTTAGTGCGAAGGCTTTATAAGCTTCATTTAATTAAAAGGAAAATAAGAGATTTAGGGGAGAAAATGTTTCCTAGGAATCAGTTTTATTGGATCGCTCTGCTGATTGCGATTGACTGAATCTTTTATTAAAATACTGAGTATTTGACAGACACTCTGTAAAATTGGGTTAAATAAGTTTGATTGATAAACTCCTCTTTAAGCATTACATCTCATTAGAGGACAAAAGTAAAATCAGCATATTTTTGAAGTGCATAAAGTTGAAATAAAAATAATATGGAAACACATTTTTTTCGTATTGTAGCATACTGATCAAGTACCTGGGCGACCGAATTTCGCTCAGAGTTTTTGGCCAAAAAAACATAAAAAAAACAAACTAAAAATGTGAATAACTACAAAAAAAAACAAAAGTAAACTTTGTATCCGATCGGGATACGAAGCCAGACACCTGTGGTTTCAAACTTACGCCTTGGCCGCTTGACCACGATGCTTATGTCCTTGCGTGCGAATTAGCGACCATATTTTTCGTGGAATAATGCGAAACAAAACCGCATGAAAACTTGAAAACACGCGTTTTGCCAGACATAAAACTAATCTAGATCGATTTATCGTCCCCGAAACCTAAATACTATACCCTATACTAAATTTCATGAAAATTGTTGGAGCCGTTTCCAAGATTCAGATTGTATTTGTATATGTATTAAATTGAGTTTCTACGCCACACAAAGAAATTGACCCTTTTTATGCTTAATCGCGTCATATCGAAAATACCAGGACGTAATTGGATGATTAAGATTTTAGAGTACCTATATTACAATAGAACAGGCAAAAATCCAGATTATTATTAACCAGATTTTCTTTCAAATCGTTTACAAAGAAACGCTTTGAAGTATAAATTGAACGCCCTCTTTGAACTGACGCTGACATGTCAATATCTGTTTTCATCTTTTCATTACAAAGATCCTTAACTTTATCGCTTAGCATAAATGAATGAAGCTTTATAAATTAAGTTTGATAAAAAATAAAAAGTTAAGTAAAAATGTAGACACAAGTTTTAAAGCTCATCAAAAAAGTTTTTATCTGTTTTAACAGGGATTAATTAATTATAAGCTTTGTTATATTATTTATTGCACTTAAAATATGATACAGAAAAAAAATAACAAAGTAAACATAGTTCACAAAGGTGGGCTTATCTCTAAAAGAGATCTCTTCCAGTCAACCCCTGGTTGTGGAAGAAGATGTCAGCGGGCAATATGGTGCAAAAAAATATACTAAATATATACTAGAAATAAAGGTAATAATAATCACATATACATACATACATACATATATACCTATATTTCTTATAAAAATATATAATATTATACATATATAATACCTATTGTAAAGACTACTTATACATATATACATATACATACTTAATATATAAAATTTCAATAGTATTTAATTAATTACTGGGTTATAATATTTTAAACGTAGTATATTTTATATATGTAGCATATTTTTGTGACATTTTATGTGCTACTATCATTGCCGGCGGCTACGCCCGCGTTCAATTGACCAAAAACCAAACTATTAGGTTTTACATATTAGTATATCCTTACATTGCAGTTTTTGATATTTTTTCTCAGAAATGATATTTTTTCCAGGGTAAAAAGTATCCTATATGTTGACCCGGATAACCAGCTATCATCATACCAAATTTTCTCAAAATCCTTCCAGTGGTTTTTCTTTGATGTGGTAACAAACAGACAGACAGATAGACAAAAATTCTAAAAACTATAGATTCAGTGTCTGTATCGATAATAATGTTTATTTCAATAAGATTTTGCAAAAAATATTTAATGTACAGATTCGGCTTAGTTACAATTTTATTATATTTAATATGTTGCTATAACGTAAACAAATAGATTTATCAAATAAATATTAAATAGACTAGCAAATTTTATACCAATAAATCCTATTGCTAGGTAGATGTAGTATATGTAAACAATGTAAACAGTTCAATTCTCCTAATACGTCGCTTTGTGCTCGTACATACGTACGCAAGGCTGGCAAAATCGATACGATATATGTACTCGTAAGTGCACATGTTGACTTCTATAGGTATACTCTAGTACAGAAACTTTACT